TGAACCTTGTCTGCTCACTTCTGATCCTAACCTTACAAATATCTGAAAGACTCTTAGAAGATTTGTCTGGGTTTTACAAATTAGAGGAAGAGATAACAGTACATTATTACAACTTAGTGCCTCAGCCAAATAAATGTCCTTGTAAAACAGCAAACAAACCAACAGATTTATATTTCCTTGAACTTAGCAGATAAAACTGGAAATTTTTTGTATTCTTGGCTGAAGATATCCTCATGCCAGTGGACAGTTTAAGAGGGTCTGTTTGTTTTATTTACCTTTTCTCTCTCGCATACATAAAAAATAAAACCAATGAAAATATATTTTAATACCATGACCTTTCAAATTCTTTTGCTAAAGATTATGAAAATTCCTAGTTAATAAAATTACTGAAAAATAAATTATGCAAATTTAACTACCATCCAAATCTTTAGAGAACAATGTTTCACCAAACATCGTTGGGAAACTTTTTCAAGGGTGCCTTCGGGGGGTCAGTATCTGACGCTGTGGCAAAAATAAACAAATTTCTGGAAGTTAAATGTAAAAATTTAACAACAGAGACAAAAGAAATTCAAGGATCTTCGCAGTAAACACATGACATTTGTAATGAATTCATTTCTGAATGCCTCAGTGGCAGGAAACCTGAAAGAGAAGCCCGTAAAGGAAATTCACATGAGCAGCGGTTAGAAAAAGTAAGGTCATTGCAAAAACATTAAAAGATTTTATTGTGAGAATAGTGGAGGACAGCAGTGGTATTTCTGAATTAGAATACTTTCTTACATGGAACATAACAGAAGACGTCTCAAACCGTTATGCCAGTTACAAAGTCTACAGAACAGTGTAATAAAATGGATAGTAACAGACTGCCAAGAAGGAGTGACCTCCTACTAATGTCCCTGACCTGGGCCCCAAGGAGGTAGCAAGCTTCCCTACAAGTAGAGTCTGGCCAACATATGGGGCCCTCTGTTCCTTAGAAGGGAGTCACCTATAACAATTAGCTACTTCTTTCCTGAGTGGAAGCAGTCTTGAGGTGTGGAGTCAACTGCTTCACTGTAAGCAACCTCCTGGATGGACCTTTCATTGCATCCTCACTTATATCTCCCTTGAATTCCAGAGCTTCAAACCTAGTATGCAGGGGCACTTGGGAATCGAGATAAGATAGGGACAGGGTTTGCTTGCAATGCTGAGCTGGGACCTGTTTCCACCCCTCCTCATCTCATAAATCCCTTTCCTCTGCCCAATGGTGGCAGGGCATCCACACTGTTTGGAGGGGTCTCACCCCAGTGCCTGTCTTGCAGGTATGGCAGTGAGTCACTCCACCAGTCTATCTCCTTGCACTCCCTGATGATCTTTAACCTCTCTACCATGTTACTGAGCAGATCATCCACTTGCCCACACTTCACACAAATTATATCCCTGCTGCCCTCCACTGGCAGCAACAGGCTCAGGCACTCCCTGAGCCACACATTTTTTTTGGCAGGCACTCCATCTGAGTCACCATGTTCTTTTTGTCAAGAATTTTCTGCCTTGTGGAAATCACAGCCAGATTTGTTGTCTGGGAGGCAGCTCATAGGTGAGCCAGTCTCCTGACTGGGGAGGAATAGTACATCCTCCCTGCTTGCCTCCCTCCAGGGAGAAACTGCCTGCATCGTGCCCATCTGACATGCCATGTCCTGTTTGCCACACTCCTGGTTGGCTGTACTCCCCAGGGCTGGGTTAATACACACAGAAAGTGATAGGAATTGATCACTGTTTTCCCCTCAACATCATATCCTAACAAATATTCTATACCCTAATTACTTCATTGATACTCCATGAAGACTATGTAAATGACATCAATTTTGAAGTACTAGTATCTAATTAAGTAGATTAATCATAAGGACAATACAGTACAGCATTAGGAACATCTCACATAGTTGTTCTGCTCACAAAGAAGCAGAATTGCTTCTGACAGGTTCATGGCAATACAAGGCAAAGTATTCACAGGGAGGCCAGTAGTCATATAAAGAAAGAGGAGTTAGAACTTGCCCAACCAGTGATCTCCGACTACACAGCAATCCATGTCAAGACAGAGCCTAGGTCCAAGACAGGCTCCCCCTACAGTAGCAGGCCCTTGTATGACCTTGGGTCTACCCCTTCTAATCATGTGGAGAGGAGTACAAAAATTTTGCCTGTGCCCCCTAGGCCAGCCTCACCCCTTCACAAGGTGCTCAATCACCAGTTCAAGCCATGACTGAACAGTATACCTCCAACAGTATTCATAGTGTTTTTAAAAAGTTAAAAAATGATTTAAAAAATGTTAAAGATGGTCAGAGTCCTCTTACTTGAACTTCTGTAACTGAGAAGTCTATCCTTTTTCTCTCTTCATACCAATGTTTTCAAGAAATTAAACATATAAATACAAAAAGGATTTGATTGTATATTCCTTCCGTAAGGAAACTTAAATATCACCTCACCAAGTCCAGCACATTTTATTTAAACTCTACTGCTACTGCAAAAGCTGTAGATATCTACTCACACAAAATGAACAAATGAAGACAACACCATGAACATTTTCAACACTTTATTCGGTTTTCTGTCAGGTAACTAAAATACAAGTTAAAAAAAAAAAAAAAAAAAAAAAGGAGGAAAGAAAAAGAAAGGAGTCAGAGCCTGAGATATTCAATATAAATCAAGAATACCTTCAGCTAAATAAAGCCTATTTTTCTGTCCTCCCTTTTCTCTTGGTGGCCTTTTTCTTTTAAGGCAACTAGGTGAGATTGACAGCTTAAAACAACATAGTACGTCACGATAATATAAAGATAAGCCATGTCTGAATCCCAGCCTGACAATTCAAAGAATTTCCCAATGTTAACACATTAGCATCTCTTGAAAAGCGATCCTTCTTAACTTTTTAGTTCATCTCATCCCTAATGATGCAGTATGCCTCCCTTTCAGATTTATCTACCAACTTTTCTGAACGGCACATTTTTCAGTTCATGTTTCCCAGCCACACTCCTTTCCCAGCTGGTTTCTACCTATATTGTAATTGAGTAGAGGCAGTTTTAATTCATTAACACAGGGACTTTATTCTTGCTGTGGGTTATTCAGTTCCCATTGTCATGTTGTAATTAGATGAGTTTCTTTTACTTTCCTATCTAGAAGTATTAAATGTTACAGACTTTATCAAACTGTTGTTACTACCTGGTTCAACACGGCACATAATAATGCCAGCCTGATCCTATGGGATCACGACTTCAGCACAGAAAACTGGCCTGAGTCCCTTTCAAGGAGTGTTTCCTTCAAGCACCTCAAAATCCATCTAATATCTACCTTAAAACCTGTGTATCTTTCATTATTTTCATCAAGATAGTAATAGTTCACTTAAGTTTACCTCTAAGTTTAACATTTTCCCTAGTTAGGCTGGTGGAAATCATCTTCAACCTGTTTCACCAGAATTCAGTTACCACTTACCTCAATACAGAGACCAGTGGACTCCTTGTCAACATCATTAGGATGCTTTTACTGCAAGTTCACATCATAGAACCTAGGGCAAACTGACTCTCACAGCCTATTTTTACTTAGTGTGCCATCTTACAGAGATCTTGGAATTGAATATGACCAAATATTCAGATGCACATCTCTTCTGCTTTAGACCTTTTAAATCTTCTAAAACTCTTTCCAGTCCTTTGCATGTAATCTCTTTCCCTAATAGATTTCATTTTTCAGTATCTCCATATCCATCTTATGTAGCTACTTACCTAGCTTCTACATATTTTTTTCCCACGTGTTTAAGTTCCCTGTTTTTAAAATGGGGACTCCTGACTGGCTCTTCACTTGCTAAATCAATTCTTAATCACAGGGATGGAAAACAGTTAACTATTACCCTGCAATACACTGAGATTTTTCTCCTTGGTTTTGTATGGCGCCTGCCTGTTTCTCCCTGCTTTCACCACATCTTTAAGCTACCCCTACCTTGTTCTTTACAAGTACGCTCTCTTGAAGCTTTTTTCTATTATTTTTAATGAGTGATGGTGCATGTAGGAATATTTTCTCCCATTCTTTTGCCCACTTACTATAACACACATTCAATTTCTGTATCATGCTTGACTGCTATAATTGCCTCGGTAAATATATACAAGGGCTGCTCCAAAAGTTACACTTCTTGTTTTATTTACACTGGCCCATTACATCCAAAGCAAACGGTGATGGTTTGGCAGTAAAGAACCTTCCCACCAACATTCCATTACATTTTGTTGCTGTGCAACAGATGGCAGCAGAGGGACTATCTGACAAATTAACCTCCAACACGAAAGCGCATGTGAAACAAAGGTCTGTCACTGAATTCCTCCATGCAGAAATTGTGAGCACAGTGCAGGTGTGGGTGGTGCATTTTGGCAGTGGCAACAGCAGCATGAAAGACAGGCCACATTCTAAATGGCCATGCTCAACTGTCACACCTTGAAATGAAGAGTGTCTCAATCAGCTCATCCACCCAAACTGTGCAAATATCATTACTGGTGACGAGATGTAGCATCACCACTACAAGCCAGAGCCAAAACGGCAAACCAGGGGGTGGTATACATGTTAATTCCACACATAAGGAAAAGTCTAAGATGCAGTTCTCAATGGGTAAAGTGATGTGCATGGTCTGCTGGGATAGGAAAGGAATGATTCTCCTGGATTTCCTAGAAACTGGACAAATCATCACCTTTGACTGCTACATCATGACACTGCCCAAGCTAAAGGCTTTTACTTCCAGAATCAGGCCGGAGAAGACAATCTTTCTCTTGCAATGCAGTAACACCAGGCCCCACACCAGTTTGAAGACTGTGGAGCACACTGCCAATCTTCGCTGGACTATCCTTCCACACTTACCAAATAGCCTATAGATTTGCTGCCTTCTGACTTCCATCTGTTTGGGCCAGTGAAAGATGGACTGCATGGACAACATTTTCCTAGCAATGATGCCATCACAGCAGCTGTGAAATAGTGGGTCACCTCTGTTGGTGCTCTTGTTCATCACTAACAAAAATGCATAGCTAATGGTGGTGGCTATGTTGAAAAATAGTGTTTTGCAGCTGAGAATGTGCTCTCTCAAAGGAGTGTTATTGTGCTGTTTGCATCTGTTTCACTTCTCATGGAAATAAATAGGAGTTGTCACTTTCAGAGCAACCTACGTAATCTATTATTCTTTCTACAATTCAGGATAAATAGGATAATCATCTTTGTCTACTTTTTTTTTTTTTTTCCCCATTTAAAAACAATCAAATCAGCCAAACAAACAAAAAACTCACAACTTTCTGTCTACGTTACTTTTCTTTCTTCCCATAAGCCTGCTAAGTAAGAGATTACTACTTGTGCTTCACGTGATCTACTTAGGTATCATTCTCTCTGACCAAGCTGCAACAAGTAGCGTTCTATTTTAAATTTTGACCACATTCTAGAAATTAATTTCTAATGACTTTTATAACACCAGTATTACAGTTAAGCCTGAGACACAACTGTCAAACAGTCTAACTTTTAAATCAACTAGCAATTTTAGAAACAATTCAAAAATGATTAAAATGTTTCTCTCAGCACAGACAGGACCTAACAGACAGTCCTCTATTTCAAGTGTACTGTTCGGACAGCACAATTTAAACAGAAAAATAACAGTAGGAATCAGCATTAAAAAATGGGACAGCTCAATTAAAAACTGCTTTAATTTTCTGCATTGATGCATCTGGAATGTCATCGACTGGTTGTATTGAATTGTGCAAAATACTGACTTGTTGGACAATTTGAATATTCTTCTTCCTTAAGATAAATGTTCCTAGCAACAAAAAAAACAACACAGTTAGTGACTCTTTTCTCAGTACACAGAACTTACTTGAGAAACCTAAGAAAGATGTAATGCATAAATTCATAATGTTCATAAAATTCAGAATTATTGCGAATGGAATTAAATGTAACTGTACTTGCACATGAATATCATGTCTCGATACTGCAAATTTTATTTTTCATCCTAAAGTAACCTTCCAGATCCTCACAATGAAAAACTAAATTATCACAACTCAGAATTTTTGCTTGCATAATAAGAAAGCACCAAGTATTAGGAATTCTTCTGCAAGATGTATAGATGGATATACGATGAGAAGGAAAAAAAAGTCAGATTGGAGGATTAGAACACTGAATCAGTCGGCTTAACTTTTTTCCCTGTCATCTTCCCTCTTTCTCAGCACATCAGAAACAACACCTATACACCATGATCTGTCAGTGGTTAGCTACAAAATCAGCTAGTTTTGACATAATGTCAAAGCTCCGTTTGTGTGATCAACTTCACTTAGAGCTATCAGAAACTGGAAACTTTTAACGAAGTGGGTGGACACCTATCCTGTTATTTATTTCAGAAAAGGAAGGTAAATGAAAGAAACACATACTGTTTCATACCCACTAATATGATTTGCTGTCTAACTGTATTTATTTGCTCTTTTGTTATCTATATAAACTTAGCAGTCTGTTGTCAGTGGAACACTGCTAAGAATTTCAGCTACTATTCCATATATATGGATCAGTAAACATCACAATCTAGTCTTTGAAGGTGTTTCCAATGGTAATGAAAAGCATTCTTAATCTAAAATGCTAATTTTTTAAAAAAGTATAATTTTACAATAAATTCGTTAGAAAAGAAACAAACTTAAGACAAGCAGAGAAGTTCTTTGAAAGCCAAGCAATTGTACCAATGGCAAAGAGTTTTTCTGAAAAGAAGAAATCTCTCTTATCACTTACTTTGCTTTCTGCTCCTGGGATAGTTGTGCATTTATGCTATCTAGAGCTTGGCGGCATTCTCGATTCTGTCGTGCTTGATGCCGCTCTAAAATTAACTGTGCTCTTGCAGCCTGCATGCTTTGCCTGTCCCATTCAGCATCTCTTTGGCGCTCCTCCTCTTTTAATCTCTACAAGAGGGGAAAAAAAAAGCTTCATTTTTTCTTTACTCAAAGACAAAAATCCTATACAGAGTCTTATTGGTAAATTCATCCAAACAACAAACTTGCTATCCTTTGCTGAACACTAGGGGTAGCACTCGAAATAGAGAGAAAAAGTATACACTTCTGAACAAGGTAGGAGCACACACAGTAGACAGTACTAAAATAGTTTAAATCAGGAAGCTACTCTTTTCTAAGGAGCACTCCCTAGAAGAGACTCCTACTTTTGCAAAAGAAGAAGGTAAGAAATGTAGGCCTGCTGTCTGGCAGAAATACTGTCATTAGACTATTATTTCTTTTCTACATCCTAGCTCTTTCCAAAACACATAGATTGGCAAGATTACTATATATATATATATATATATATTTTTTTTTTTTTTAAGTTCCCAGACCCAAATAATTTCTTAATCATCTCTGTGATACTATCACTTCTACTGCATTTCTTATCTGATATCACCGTGAACTGAATCAAGAACAAGCCAGCAAAAACCTTCACGCTTTCACATTCAGCTCCCGCACTAAATGAATTAAGTAGCTTCCTATATAGTAATACCTATGCCAACACACTTCTGACTGCAAAGGAGGTATACATTTCTTCATTTAGACTGCCTCCATCCATCCACCTGTAGAGCATCAATTACTGGCAATATTTAGTCTTTCTATTGCAATCCCATCTCAGAGCATGAGTCATAAATGTGCAAGAAAGTAAAAAGGAAATTAAGGAATTTCAAAGACTGTGAAATATACATGAGTAGTATCACTGGATAGGCTCTCTTTGTCTTGCTCAGGTTTCATGTGTCCATGAGGACACTGTTTCAGATTGTCTGTCCTGCTGTGACTGTCAGTTCCTGGCTCCTCTTCCCGTATGGAGAAGACCACTCCTATTCCTGCTCATCTCTTGCTGGCAGTTCATGCTGTTTCAAGTCCTAAACTGAGCACCATGAAGCCTGGCCTTTGGGCTGTGTAGGGCCTTGATCCCCAGCTGGGTGACCACGGACCATGCCCCAGGATTCTCAAGGCCCCCTGGCCTTGATCTTCACAGCAACCTACCTTTCAGCCCAACCCCAAGGAAGGCTCCAGCTTGCTCTTGCTCCTCTCTGGCAAGCCTCCCAGGTGCTTCAGAGACACTGTATTAAGTTTGAATGATTAATGTTTGGTGAAGCTCTGAACAACAGAAAAAGTCTCAAAACTGGATATGCAGTGCCAACTTAAAAATAGGTTCTTCAGACTATATTGTTTATAGAACTATTACAACCAAGAATACAGAATATGCGCATAAGCGTAAATACCAGCTTCTCCAGAACTTGCTGCTGTTGAAAGGAGCGGATTGCCATCAGCTGATCCTGATTCATTCCCTTCCACCGATCTGTGATCACACGATGTGTACCAAAGGAACTGATAGCTTGCTCAGGGTTTTCAGAAAGTAAGTTTCCTTGAAGCTGGCTGGAAATTTCATCCATATCATCTTTCATTTTTTGACATTTATCCAGCCTCTTTCTTTCAGCTAGTTCAGCAGCCTGAAGTCAACAAAAGTAGAGAACCAATAGCTTTTCTGATAGAAAATATTAACTTAAGGGATGCAAAAAAATTAGCACCTACATATAGATTTATACTCAAATTCCATACAGTTGTCAACAGCATCACATGTGAATATTATGATCACGGCCCTACTGGTCAAAAAGACTGAAAATCCAATGGCATGCATTAATTATATAAGCATAATAGCATTGTTTTAATTTTATCATATCTCATCCCCGCTAGGGCAAAGAGCATGGGCTGTCAGACCTGCCTCTTGCATATAGAGTTTTGCACACATATCATGACTGCAGCAGGCCAATGGATACCAATTTTTCCAGTTTTTCCAAGATTCTCTCATTGTCTGCTGAATATTACTGGCTTTGAAAGTGAAAAGTTGAAAACTCTAAGGCAGAGTAACTAGAAGAGATCAACAACTGAGAATGACAGGCCTATCTAGACCCAAATGCAGGTCCTTTGCAAGAGTTACAGAGAAGAATTCTCCACTCAGCAAGCATGATGATCCATCCCACCAGAGAAGACTGCTAACCTGGGTTTATCTCTACACTTGCATTTATGGACTTTGTTTTTGTATGACAGGAGCTCTCCCAAGCATCAGGCCTGGAGAATGTCAAAGGGTTTTTTATTTGCTATGGGCAAACATAGACAATGACCCATTAAAGACTGGAAAAAAATAACAAAAGTATTAGATGTGCAATCTAAGAAAAGATGAATTCTATTTTTTCATGATAAATTAGTCATGCTTCCAATTAAATAAGATTATGCAGAAAATACCATGTTGTTGTCATTAGATGATTCATATGATATTACAAATGCCAACAAAAAGACAAAGCAAAAACCACAAAGATTTTCAATGTTTCGATACTTCTGGGACACCAAACCAGAATATCTTGGTATATACTTTTAGCTTATTAATACTACAAATACAGCAATTATTTTTAACTCTGGAAATGCTCCAAAATAAAGCACACTTAACAGAAAGTCATTTTGGATGGATTTCACATAAATAATTCCTGAACAATGATGAAGAATTATTGAAGTTTAAACAGTGTAATTTTTATTGACATCACTTTATGAAGGCAGTTTCGCTGTGATTTAGCAACAGATCCAAAATAGGCACTTACACCTTGTTATTTTAACCTTCTCACAGAGAGAGCCTTTTCTGAGCTGCCTGGGAATCTTACTGGAGAAAACTCTCAACCCTGTGCATAGCTATGCAGCACTGTAAAATGATTAATGACATTGTGAAATAGAGACTGGGTAAAATCTGATGTATTTTCCATCAAGACAGTTGGCCAACAAAACAAAATTTATTGGTTTAGCACGAAAACAAAAAACAAGGCAAACAGATGCACAAATATATGCTACTTCATTTATTTTAATTTGTGCTCCATCATTCATATTATATACTTCCATTCCACTGACTCAAGTCAAAAAAACAAAATAAATGTACATGGAAGCACTGCAAGGTCAGGACTTCACACGCTTAGAGTATCGCCAAGCTCTGAGTGTACATGGAACTAAACTGCACCCAACACAGGACTAAAAGAATGCACCATGTATTCTGAAGTCCTTACCACAAGCCATGAAGCTCACAAATGACCAGAGTGATCCATCCATAGTCTTATGAGCTTGGGAAAGATGTATATCCCAAGAATAGGATATGAGTGACAAAAGATATTTGCACAGCACTCTTCAAAGAATGCTTAAAAACAGAGTTACCATGCTTCTATGTTTACATAAATATTTTATTTCAGGTGAAAAAAGGCTTCAAACTAGCTACTCAAAGTCTTGAATTTGCTGGGCACTCTGGACTGATAAATTTGAAGTCAGATACAAAAATTCCTTTTCTAAAATTCATTCTCTGGCTGAGTGCCCCAGTTTTCTCTTAGGAGAAAAGATGTATAGAAAATCCCTCTAAAAGGCACAGCCTTTTTCTCTTAGACACAACTGCTACCTGTACAATATAGTAAAAATGAACTACACTGAGATTGTTGCTTCTTTCTCTATTATTATGCCCTTTTGTGAGAAAACAAACAAACAAATGTTATATGTATTTAATATGAGCACAAATAAACTAGAATGTACAAGGCCAAATATTAAAAACAAACAAACAAAAAAATTACACCAGACACAAACTTCCCCTCTACTCCACCCCATTTCTTAAGCTCCATCACAAATTCAGGAACTTATACATAGAACAAATTTGTACGACAACAATTATTTTGGATATTATTGTTAACTAAAGTGCATGTAGATGTACCATTTGGGGTACTTTTGCAGGTACTGACGTAAAATAGTCTTTAGACTATTTTAGACTATTAGACTTCAATCAAAATCCTTTTCAATTATCTTGTCTAGCTGTATATATATAAACATACATACACACACATATATATATGTATACACATATGCTCAATGTAGTTTGAAGGACTCGGGCAACACTTATTCAAACATGTGCATACATACTATCACACTTTAATCAAAATATCTACCTTATGTAGGTAATGTAACTAAGGCACATGCCTTATTTTGTTGTGTCTTATTTTGTTGTGACTAAAAAAAGGTAACTCAGATCAAATATTGTTTAACAAAACAAATGGTGTCCATCCAGCCCTTTAAGCTGCGCATAGAAGATATACAGGATTAACTTAGTAAGAAAATCTGTACAGTAAGATGAAGAATTGGAGCATGATAGATTGCAGTACAAAGACAGGTGGAATGGAAGTGAATGGAATGGAAGACCATTCAGTTTAACTGCCTCTTCACAGCTAACCAAAAGTTACAGTATGTTATTTCTGGCATAGTCTGAATGCCCCTTGAACACTTGCCGTGGGGCATCAACCACCTCTCTAGGAATCCTGTTCCAGAACTTGACCATCATCACAGTGAAGAAATTGGTCTGGTTACCAATGATAGAGAGAAGTTCATGTTATGTTTCAGTGAGTTCCAAAGCTTGCTTGGAAAACAACCTAGAGACAGATACACAGCATGTGCTAAAAACAATGGTCTTGGGGCATTAAAATAAGTGATAAAGACAAAAAGTTACTGGTAATTTTTCCACAAAAAGGAAAAGAAAAGCTGGCAGAAGCAGCTAAAATTATCAGATGACTGGGCAGAAAAAAAAAAAAAAAACCAAGAAAAAAAAAAAAAAAAAAAAAACAACGAGAAGGAAGTGCTGAAGGCTTTTGCTGTACTGCATTTTACAGACTAGAAGTCCCAGAGAGATGGCATTAGTGGCTGCATGCTACAACAAGCTGAGAACAAGAAGGAAGCATTCTCACAGAAGGTAACCAGGTAGAGGATAGCCAGATCCTTGCAGATGACAAAGAAGTGAAAAAATCTTCTGAATCAACACTGAAAGGTAGCTGCTATCAAACATCTGTGGAAACATCACTACTTGTTATACTTTTGCTCACTGGTCATCTAATTTCCCCTCCATCTTCTCTCCTCCCCCACTCATTAACAGAAACAAAAACCAACATGATGAATTTACCTGGCTTTTGTTAAAGTCTTTGATAGCTGCACAAACAGCACGTCTGGTTTCTTCTTCTATTCGTTGTTGTTCCATTATCTTTTGGTCCAGTTCAATCCTATTCTTGTCATGAAGATCATCTGAATTAGATTAAAATGAAATGCAGTCAACTTTCATGGACATTGTGTATCACATGAATATGGAGGAAGGGGAGGCTAAAGATGTAGTAAGCTGATTTAGGAAATTATTTCCCAATCCTGTCACCAAAGCTTTCCATCTTGGAATTTCAGATGATTCATGAAATCAGTTTATTTTGTAATCAATCTTGTCTTAGCAGGTAAACAAAGTTTAATAATAATAATAATAATAATAATAATAATAACAACAATAATAATAATAATAAACACTAAGCATGTTTAACAGCAAGATAAGAAAAAGAAAAATGAGAATTATTTTGTTTGCTCTATAAAAGTAAAGACTGGATGATTTGGCCTGCTGAAGTGTATATATATATGTGTGTGTATATATATTATATATATATATATGTCATGCAAAGTACAGATGATTTTTCAGAATACTCTGATACTTCATACAAGGCTTAAAACAGAAATGAAGCCTAGCTAATTATTCAATCATTAAGTTATTAAATTCTTCATTTATATATCAAATACATTACAAGTTGTAGAGCAAAAACTGCTCTTTCTCTAAAAGCTGAATACACCAAAATACTGCTATGTCAGAACCTTACATAACAGGCTACAGCACAGTTATGTCCTAAACACCTGACTTACAGAGAAAACAGATAAAACCTCCCTTATCTTCTCTTGTTACCTAAAAATTTTTTATCAGCTAACGCATTCTTGTAATCTCTCTGTTGCTGAAGAGACCACTCTCTTAACTGCTCCTTTTGAAATTTCGTCCTCTGAGCATAGTTTAAGTCTTCACCCATAAACTTCTGCAAGCCAGATACAGTGCATCGAGGATCATTGTCTGAAAGCCGAGCAGGTCTATCCTTCTTTAGAGCCTGGGGATCAGATAGATCAAATTCACGTCTCGTTTCTGGCTGCTGAAAATTCTTCTGAAAGTCACTGACAGCCTTGTTCACGTTTCTGATGTTGCGTTTTTGTCGTTCTTCTAACATACACATCAACTTGTCATTTTTCTTCATTTCATTAGCTAGAGTAAAATGAGCACAACAAACATATAATTCTTAGAAGAGTATACAAATCAAGATGGAAAACAACATTTTCAAAGCGAATAAATAGGAATACATGTATTCCAGGGTTAGGAATGACTATTTCATCTACAAAGGGTCATTCTGCAAAACACTCTAATGTTAGTAATATTTATTTGTAGAGTACTTTAATGTTTCTAGGAGTTAATTTTCTTACTAATGTGAAATTATATATAAGCGTGTGAAAAGAATACAATAATAAGTACCTCTAGAACTAAAAAATTTCATTTGATGAAAGCTTGCTTTACAGATGAAGTGTATTGTTTACTAATTCTTCATATTTACTTCCAATTTAGCATTATGACTAAAATACAATAAATTCCTTATTAAGAATACACAATAAAGAATTCTCAATTTAAGACATGTAGGTTGCTCCGTAAGTAATGTTTGTTTGTTTGTATGGAAACTACAACAGATAAAAAGAGCACAATAACACTATTTAACACAGCACATTCTCAGCTATAAAACACTATTTCCAACAGAGTCACCACCATTTTTGTCAGTAATGAACAAGAACCTACATGTTGTGCTCATAAAAATCTGTACCAGTAGAGGTGACCCATCGTTACCACTGCTGAAACAGACCATCCATGTGCTAATGTCCACTGTTTGGTCTTCGCCAACACTCAGTGAGCATCAATGAATGTCACTGGGTGCCATTTTTTCTGCATGAAGTTATTCAGTGACACACCTTTGCACATCCTTGCCAGATACCATTTTCTCAGACAGCCCCTCTGCTGCCACCTGTTGCACGACAACAATATGTGTAAGAATTACCAGGAAGGTTCAACCTCTACAGCCATTCCACCAACATTTGCTTCTGATGTCATGGACCAACATAATAAAATAGGAGGCATTACTTTTTGAGCAACCTTGTAGTTATTTCAGTTTCAGAAATTTTTCTAAGCACAGCACTAAAAGAATTGGCTGTTGCTAACAGCTTTTGAAGAGCTTAATAGCTCTTATCTATTTAATAAAAATGCTAAATAATCCAGTCAAAAGTTAAAAAAAATGCATACATGATAGCCATTCAAATATAATTCACAATGAAATATAATTTCCTTTGATGCCAGACTTCTGGCAGTTTCCTAGGGGTCTGAGTCTGCCAGGTATTCCACCAGGATAATCAAAACCAACAGCGGAGGAAGGAAGGAATGGAAGGAAGCACGGAAGCTGTCATTTGCAATTGAACTCTTTCTGAAACATGTAGAGTGCCCAGTCTGTGGGACCTTTAGAAATGATACCATGAAAAAGCGTTCCAACCAAAGAGGGTCATCAAGAGTTTTGAGACGAGTGGAGATAGGTCTAAAATATTTTTGTGGCTGTGCGTTCTGACTCAATCGAGAGCAATACCTCTCAATTACAGCCCTGTTGTTTGCAACACATGCAAGTCTGCAGATGATACTCCAAGCTGAGCAACAGTGCTGATGCACTGGTGGGAAGGCATGCCATTCAGAGAAACCTTCACAGGCTTGAGAAGCAGGCTCATGAGCATCAAGTTCAACAAGGCTAAGTACGAGTTTTACATTTGAGCTGGGACAGTCCATACATCAGTACAGACTAGGAGATGAACTGATTGAGAGCAACCCTGCTGAGAAGGGCTTGGGGATATTGCTGGATGAAAACTGGATTTGTGCTGGTAATGTGCCCTCACAGCCTAAAATCTCCTGGCCTCATAAGAAGTGCAGCTAGCACTTTGAGTGAGGCAATTATACCCACCTCCTCTGCTCACAGTAAAGGGTGGGGTCTTGTGTAACTCACTCTGGGGCCCCCAGCACAAGCACCTGTTGAAATGAGTCCAGATGATGGCCCACTAAAAGAGGGCTGGAGCATCTCTCCTATGAGCAAAGGCTGAGGGAATTGTGCTTGTTTAGCCTGGAGAAGAAAAGGCTGCTGGAAGACCTTACTGCAACTTTCAATATATAAAAGAGGCTAACAAGAAATAGACTTTTTACTAAGGTCTGTAGTGCAGGAACAATGGGCAATGATTTTAAACTTAAAGAAGGTAAATTTAGATTGAATATAAGGAAGAATTTTTTTTATGATGAGAGTGGTGAGACAGTGGGACAGGTTGGCCAGAGAAATTATGGATGTCCTATCATTTCAAGTGTTCAGGGTAAGCCTGGGAAGGAGTTTGAGCAGCGTGATCTTGTAAATGATGTCCCTGCTTATGGCAAGGGGGTTGAACTGGATGATAAAAGTCACTTCCAACCTAGGCCATTCTATGATTTTAGCAACAGAAATCTGTAAAATATCATATCTACTGATCCTGTGTAAGAACAGACAGAAAAAACATAAACTTCTTTTGCAAGACAGCAGTAAAATAAGTTTGCCACTTCTGTTTGAAAAAGAATTATTATTTTTCCAAATCATCCTGTATCTTCAGGTCTCTAACAATGCTATTTATCAAGAACAGAATCAGATGCCAAAGCCAATCTGAGTTCTCTAGCAAAGTGTTCAACAGAGTGAAAAATTTCACTATAGCCACTACTGCAAAATTCCTAATGATATACTTCCATCTGTCTGATTCCTGGGAAGCAAAGAGTCAGCTGCAATGGGTCACTTGGCTGCATGAAGTGGAACAGTTTGATTTAAGCTGTGGCATAGTTTGGGTCCATTCAAAAAGAAAACACTGAAGATTAAAACCTATTCAGAAATACACACCAGTTTACTCATGACTGTACAAATCCCTGAGACCCTATCTTAGATAACAAGGAAAACACATATTCTACCAATGCAAATGTATAAACATAAATAGGAATACACAAAGGATTCATTTTGTAAGTATGAATTTAGACAAAAGCCTAATTGCACATGCACTTATAAATATATAGATATACAGAGTTGATAATCAAGGAGATAGACTTCATTTGAAAATAATTACAGCTGTTCAAAATATATGGGTGTCCAACCTTTTAGTTTGCTGGGCTGCACTGAGTGAAAATAAATAATCTTTGGCCATATACAAAATATACAATATAGTTAATATATACAAGTAACAAAACAGTTATTTTTAAAATATTTTTTATTAAAACATTAAAAATAGGGCAATAAAAGCAAAACTAGTAGGCTGGACGCGTATAAAAAGAAAAAGAGGGAATGAAATACATGACAAATCTGTTTACATTCAACTTCATACAAACACGAGTCTATCTATGAATATAATGAATATACCAAGTTCTTCATTTCGTGCTTTTTCAGTTTCTTCTTGAATTTTCCTATCCTTAACCTGGGCATCCAATGCATCTTTATCAACCTATTAAAACAAACAAACAAAAAGTAAAAACAACAATACACCAACTGTTACTGGCTGTCACTGGGTGTCTTTGTAAGACTTACAAAAAACACTGACAATTCTTCAAGAGCCTGATAAAGTACTTTAACAGTCTTTGCCTATTAGAATCACAGAGTCACTAAGGTTGGAAAAGACCTCTAAGATTATCTGTTCCAACTGTCCACCTACCACACATGCCCCTCACTGCCACACCTTCATGTCCCTCAAGCACCTCCAGGGACGGTGACCTATAAATACTTTGCCTTATTTCTGTAGCAATCAAAATGATGGAAGTCAACCATTTGCCTCACTTTTAACTCTAATCATTTTTCTCCCTTCCATACGCCTCCTGTGCTTTTCTGACCTTTTTTTTCCAATTCCTACTGTTTTGTTTTTTTTTTAAGCTCAGGTGATGGATAACTATCTCCCTGATGCCCCTCACTTATAAACATGCACACCAGAGGATCAGAAGCACAACAGCCATGGCGCATTTACCTCTGTCATACATGCAATTCTCATTCATTCAAAAAGGCAAACTATAAGATAAATTATAGATTTAACTTGCTCATTCTAGAACCATGCTTCCTCTAGCTGAAACATTAGCAAATTTAAGGCTGAGATATGCAAGCAGGATTTAAATTATAAATTCCTTGCTATAAGCAGTTTGAAGCAGTTGACTTCTAATTTGTAGTTATGCATAAGAATTCCTATGTAAATGGAAATTCATCATTTTTCATTAGAACTGCTCATCTGAACTCTTTCAGAAAAGTACTGAATTATTGAGGATTAATTCTTAAATCTGTAATGAGATGCACCATGCTTTCCCATTTCTCAGACAACTAAACATACAGAAATCAAAGTAATTAGTAATAATCAAGGAAAAAAAAAATCTTACTTCCCATTCTGCTTTCCAGACAACATTTTATCCCATTTTAAAAACTTCTCAATCCGCGGTTCAAATAGTTTTGTGTGTGTGTCAAATATTGCCTTCATTTTTAAATAGTCACAGACAATCACTCTACTAAATTAGTGACAGAATGAGAAAACAAAGAATCTGAAACCTCATTGGAAATAGATATATACTCTATACCTCCATAGCTTTGTTGACTCCTGCTTTGGACTTGGCTTAATTTCAAACCACAAGAATAGTCTCTTCTGTAAGTACTTCTTGCTCAGCCAACAAATACGGTATTATGAAATGATGTTCATCAAAATATTTACAGAATTCTTCCAATGGATTCACTTTCACTTTAGATGTTTGTCTTGTGTAAATGGATCTATCAAAACCTGTCCAAAGGTGGTTCTACAACAGTATTTGGGTAAGATCTCCAGACGGTATAAATCAGCATTGCTCAGTAAAGTACAGAGATCCAATGGTCTTCCCTAAGCAAGAAAGGGCATTTTACATTCAATATTCAAGGCTCGAGAAAAGCCATCATAAGAGAAACTGTGCTTCCTAGCAAAGAAAGTTGAACTATCTTACCGTGCCCACGGAACTTTGTTAAAACACATTATTAGCTCCTACCATTTAACTGTACCATTGGCTACCATGCCTGTTACTTTACCATGTCACTGACTGCTGCACAAAGGTCACGAGAGCAATTCCAAGGTGCTGCAACAGACCAGGTAAACATATCCTTCTGCTGCCATATGAGATGCTTCATTACCTGAGATTGCTTAGATCAGACCGTCATCTGCTGCAACCCTACCTGCACTATGAAGTTAACAGACTGGGCTTGTTTCCACCGCTTCTAACTTTGATTCTAGCCTAGTTATTGCAATCAAAATTGCTAGTTATTGCCCTCAAAAGCAACTTAGCTGCAAAATTTAAGCTCATTTTGCAACACTTTCCCCCCCCTGCATGCATCCAGACTCTTAACATGAGACTGGATGCATTAAGGGAAAATTAACTAGCGTAACTCCTTGTACGGACTCTTCATAGCTATTTAGATAGCTACCACTTGATTTCCTGATAGTCAGACTGAAGACAAAGCCCACTGGAGCGCAGTTAGAGAGAACCGCACCTCACTCCCACCACCACCTTCGGAAAGCGTTGTCAGCCCTCCACAGAGTGCCTCAGGGAGTTCGCTGCCCCTCCCCTCCCTGGAGCCAGACTCACACAGACCTAGGCGGAGTACCGACCCCACAGCCCCGGGCAGCCGAGCCCCGACCCGCGAGCAGACTTCGTCCTCGCCCTCACCCCGATGGTCCGCACTCGCGCGTTAAAGATGCGGCCCTGCCGCTGCAGCTCGCGCTGCCGCCGCCGCTCCAAAGCAGCCGCCTCCTGCAAGTCCCTCCGCGCGCTCAGCCCGCTCATAGCGCCGGCAAGAAGCGCGGGCTGCGACAATCGCCGCTAAGGCACAACACACCGGGTCGCCATGGGGACGAGCTCCCGCCCCCTCCCCCCCTCAGCGCTCGCTGGCCAATCAGGCGAGGCCGCGCTGCCGCGAGCACGAGGCGGGCGGCGCCGTTGTGCGTGGGCTGCTGAAGGGCGAAGTCGGGCCTGGCGGGTGTGCGGCTTAGCGCTCGTTTGGGCCGTCTGCTGCTCCAGCTGCGTACGCTGAGAGCTTTCTTTTCTCCTGTATCCCTTTCCTGAAGACAGACCGTTAAAAAATAATACTCGATGGTGTGAATTTTGTGTGAGGCTGAAGTTCAAAGTGGAATGGCCTTTGTACCCACGGCTTCAGGGATGGGCTACCTGAAGCTGCTGATAGTGAAGGACTTCAAGTCCTGGCGTGGGGAGCAGCTGATCGGCCCCTTCATGAGGTTCAACTGCATAATTGGGCCCAATGGATCAGGTAGGAGGCTGGGAAAGTGTCAGGGGCATTTGGTGGCCATACATGTCCTCCGCAGTTGCCAAGATGGAGGTGTCTGTTGCCCTTGCCCTGCTTTCCCAGGCTTTTTCTCAGTCTTAGTTCTGGGCTCTTTGCCAGGTTGCTTAAAGCCTGATGAGGGAAAAAAACCATAACAGCAAGTATGTCCAAGTGTGGGCCCAGTAATAGGGCTACCACAGCTGGCACTGAATGGGCTGGAATGGCAGCAGCTTGTCCCTTGGGGGCAGAATTGCTTGATTTTTGCATAGGGGATGTAGGCTTCTGTGGGCCTCTTCACAGGGACCTGTGGGCTTTTTTTGTCGTGGAAGTGTTTTATCATGTCAGTGATCATCTTTCAGCTCCCTCCGCCCCAGAAGGTGGAGTAACAAAGTGCAACAATACTAATAATGTCTTTTAACTTGTATTATTTGCATTGTGGAAAACAATTTAGAAATCTGCCATGTGACGAAGGCAGACTTCAAGCTAGCAGGCTTAATTAGAGGCAGGGAATGTAATAGGAAAGATTTGATCTAGATTTGATGAGGAAAAATTAATAAACATTAAGAAGAGAAATCCAAGGAAAGCTGTTTGCGTCAAGTTGCATCATATTTTGAATGCTTTCCCTTTCACACGCTTAGAAAAATAGCAGTATTGCCACCAAACAGCCTCAGACATAGTTTTGCTGTTAGAGAAGAATCAGAGGGAACACATACAGTGTTTCTAGTATAATCCATGAAAATAATGTGAAAAAGTCTTAGAAGTATTAATGAAATGCGTGTGTTAAAATAGTGATGTTATAGGGGATGGTATTTCACTCTCTTCCCTTTTGTAGTACTTCTCAGCTTGGTTGGTTTGGGCTGTGGCTTGGGCTGTGACACTGGGTGTACTTTGTCCTTCTCTCTCATCACTTCTTTTACTCTTTTTTTTTTCCAACTGCTGCTTTCATTTTGTTTCTGTTCTTCATGTTTTCTGCACAAACTTCTGGAAAGTCCTGAGCTGCCATTGCTTCTCTAATGGAAGATATTGATTATCAGTTGATTTCTTCATTATTTTTGTGGTCTTGTAGAACAAGCAGTTTGCAAACAGCACATGCGGCTGTGTAGGTCAGCTTGGTATGGTCAAATGAAGATGGTTTTACTCTAATGCTCTGAGTTCTAAACTGTAATAATGCAAAATGGCTTCTTGATTCTGTTCTAGTCCTTGCCTTAAATGCCTTCTGAGGGGAGAGGGCGGCTTTTGGGGGATGGCAACTACTTCGGACGCAGTAGTTTAGTCCCCAAGTCTTTACTTGTCAGTGTGTCTCAGCGTAGTTAGGTGGTGGCTGCTGGAAGTTTTAAAAATGTGGCTCACTTCTGCTGAAAGCCCTATTCAAGCAAATGGGATTTTATTCTTTACTTGGCAGAGAACAAGGTGATGCTCTAATGAGGAGCCGCAAGGACAGGCTTAGCATTTGATCTTAGTTCCCCAGTCCGTTAGTGATTTAGTTTATGATCTTGATTTTTAGATCCTGCTGTTGCTGCATTTTTTGAGTTGAAATGAGATCCATAAATATGCTGTTCTTCCACAGCAGTTGTTCCCATTGCTCAGCAACAGCCAAACAATGCTGTATGATTGGCACTGGAATAAAACCCAGGCATGTGGAAGGTCCAGTGCTGTGCTAACTCAAGTTGTGGGAAAAAAAATTGTGTTTTGATCCATTGGCTAAATGCAGTCCTGTCAACAGTGAAAAACAGGCAGCCTTGTGTTCCATTTTGATGAAGGGATTTGAGAGTAAGTTCCAAAATTGCTGGAAAAAAGTGTCAATTTTTTGTAAATACATTATCTGCAAATTTTCAGATGGAACATGTAGAGTAGTAATCACATAATCAACTGAGAAATTTGATCATGTGTCTTTACTAGCCTTTTATAAGACCTATCTTACCAGAGAGAAACATCCCTTGCTTCACAATCGTGCCTTATTCACATCATCACTTTTTGGCAGTCTGCACATTCATGGATAAATATTTTCAAGTATGAAGCATAGGAAGAGTAATACTTCATCAAAAATTTCTGAGAGCACCTTGAGAACTGAGTAAGAATTGCACCCTCTTCTGTTGAACCAGACTGATGCATCCGTTTTGCAAGAATGAGGTCAAGTAGCCCACTGGTGTTTTGTTTTTGTTGCTTGCCTTTCCTTATTGTTATAGGAAAAAATATTAAAGAAGTTTTGTTACTTACATTACATTTATTATGTATTTAATAAGTGGCCCAAGACAATCAAGACAATTCCTCTTGACTCAGCGCAGCCCAGGCAAGCCAAAAGGTTGGACATGCATGATAAAAAAAAGGGCTCTATGAAGTAAGCATTATGATACTATTCGTTCAGTAATAGTAAGTAGTTTACTGTTACTAAATAGATTAGTAAGTAATGACAATAAAGTTTGTTCTGCCAAGCTGAATAAATAACAGGAGAGTTTTTTGATGATTTTTATTAAAGATTAGCTTTTATCTGCTGCCTCTGTTGCATTTCAGAAATGCATTTCTTCATTGTACGCAATATGTTTTCCTCAACGAAATACGGAATTAGAATTCTTGAAGACTTTTGTGTCTGCATTTGTATTTTTAATTAATTGTTAATCATATCCCTCCTTCAATTTCTTCTGTGTCAGAGCACTGACTTGTTTGTTTGTTTCTAGGAAAATCTAACATAATGGATGCTGTTAGTTTTGTGCTGTGTGAAAAGATATCTAATTTGCGAGTTAAAAGTGTTCGAGAACTAATTCATGGAGCACATGTTGGCAAACCAGTTTCTTCTACAGCAAGTGTAAAGATAGTATACTGTGAAGAAGATGGGGAAGAAAAAACATTTTCAAGAGTTATCCGTGGTAGGTGGCAGGTCCTTTTGGATGTACATTCTGTGGTCTGATACCTAAAAAATGAAAACCAAGAATAGTTAACTTTGAATTTCAAATACTTCTTACAGTCCATCAGCAGCATCTTGATACCAAGTGTAAAAATTGCAGAAAACGTATACTAAGGGTAATGTTAAAAATTAACCAAGGTGTAAGAGAATAGTTGAAGTCCATTTTCTTTGAGGAGGTTGCTCAGGAAAAAAATGTGGAATAATTTTACCGATGTATTTTCTGTTGCACCCTTTTTAACATGATTGTTTTTTCTTTTCTCCTTCAGATGGTTGTTCAGAATATATTTTCAATGATAAGTCTATTACCCGGTCCGCTTACATATCTGAGCTTGAAAAAATAGGCATACTTGTCAAAGCTAGGAATTGTCTTATTTTTCAGGTGAGCACTTAGGGTACTTCATAAGAAAATAAGTTTGTGAGATTATTTGATATCTGTAACAGTTATCTATTCAATATTCAAGCTAGTTTCAAGGTGCTTTCAAGCCAATAAACTTTATCTTGGCCTTATAAAAGAATTTTAAGTCTTTGAGATGAGAATGATAGACCTTGGGTGTAGACGATTACATTAGGAGGAAAGGGGCTAATTTGGAAGAATGCTTATTTCTTCAAAATAGAAGATGTAGATCTTTACTTTTAAAAGTTTGCAGTGTTAATTTCTAGAAATGTTATAAAAAGAAAAATGTTTGCACCATATAATGTTGATCTAGAGAGATGAAAATTTGTAAGACTATCTTTGAGGGATTGAAAATCCTGTTATTACTTCAAAAGTATTTAATGATGCAAGTAATGAATTCATGTGCTTATGACACATAAGCTTATGTGCTCATGAGTATATTTCACATGATTGCCTTTCTTATGTTTTATTGAACTGTGATTGTGAAATTCCCAAGGAAGTACTACTATTTTTCTTCTAGAGAAAACCTGGGTATGCATTCTTTTTGTGATCATAATTCCTACTGTGAGGGTGTTTGCCCACCATAACAGCAGATTGAAGTCAGAAAATGTACTGAATACAGTTTTCTGAAAATGATAATTGCTTCAGGTCAGTGAAGATTGGAAAGCTAATGTGTGGAATGTGTGGACAAAGCTTGTGACCCGTTAGCCTTGGGAGTTGCAGAGTCTTCAAATACACTGACTTGAGCAATTACTCTCCTGAAGTAGCTGTTTTTGAAATTTTTTTCGTTGCAGATGTCTTTCAGTTCTTTTACAGAGGCCAATGAGATAGAATTTTGTTTTTCTGATACTGCGCTCTCCTTTGTTTAAGTAGATTTAATTTGAATGTGTATTTCTTAAGTAGTGTTTGATATTATAAAATTATTAATTGTAACTTGCTTAGTTGGCTAGATTATAGTCTTTTCCTAGCCTTTGAATCTATATATATGTTTTCAATAATGCTAATCATTAAAATATCAGGAGATAAATCTGTATTATATCTCTTAGAGATTAAATTTATCATTCTACAATGTGATCTGCAGTGGTTCTTTTTTTTTTTTTTTTTTTTTTTTTTTTTTGCAATTTCATGTTAGGGAACAGTAGAGTCAATTGCAATGAAGAAGCCAAAAGAAAGAACTCAGCTTTTTGAACAAATCAGTAACTCATGGCAATATGCTGAGGAATATGAAAAAAAAAAGAAAAAAATGCAGCAAGCAGAAGAGGATGCACACTTCAATTATAACAAGAAAAAAAATATTGCAGCAGAACGCAAGCAAGCAAAGGTAGAGAAAGAAGAGGTAACTCAAAGTTACTACTTTTGTGTGTGTGTTTTTGTGTCTTCTGTGAACTTAGTTTTTAGGAATAAAATACCATTTTTTCATCTAGTATTTTTTTCAGTATACTGTAAAATATGCATTTCTAAGTTATTTTAAATATTTTATTATAAAAACTAAATAAATTGAGGAGTAGAGTAGCCAGTATTATTACAGTAAGGCTTGACTTAGATATCTGAGTTTTAATAGTGTACATTACTGGTACATCAGCCTACATCACTTTGGACTTCAGATTAGACTGCTAGTGATTTAAAAATAATTTCTTAATCTAAAAATGAGATTTTAATGTTGGCAGGCAGAGCATTACCAGATGCTTGTCAGAGAACTGAATGCAAACAGGATACAGCTTCAGCTTTTCCAGCTCTATCACAATGAAAGAAGCATTGAATCTCTGAAAGAGAGTTTGGATGAAAAGAATATGGAAGCTAGGGTCAAGAAAGACTCCCTTTCTACAGCAGAAGATGCCTTTAGAGCAAAGAAAAAGGTGCTTGGTGTACTAAACAGAGACCAACAACACATAGAAAGGGAAATGAAGTAGGTTTTTCAATCAAGTTCTCTGATTTTTGAGTTAAAGCATAGTCTGCACTGGGAATTGCTTGGCAGGTGGGCGTTTCCTATTGAAGTGAGTAGGGTGATAACTCCTAATGCTATGGAAGTTGGGTTGTAGCATTTTACTTGAGTAGTAACTAAACATTGATTTTTATTGTTATTATTTTTCCCCCCCAACATTACCAGCATTTTCAGTAGTTTAATTACTTGTTTGTTGTGAGATTTCAGAATTTTGTGCTGCATTTCTTCAGCTTTTGTTTTCAGTGGATGTTTAAAAATAACACCTGTGGGTATGTAACCTTGCAGCTGGCAATTGGTGGCTGATTTGCATGTTTGTTTGGAGGTGTTGTTTTATTTTTTGTTCTTTCAGGACTCTTCAGGCATCCCTGATTCAGCAGAAAGCCCTCTATATAAAAGCGAAGGAAAATACTTCCTACCAAATCAAGAAAGTAGAAATGTCTAAAAGATCTCTAAGGGACAAGGAGAAATACTGTGATAAGGAAAAACAGAACATAAAAGAACTGGAGATAGAATTGCATGAAACTGAGAAGGCATGGAGAGAATTTGAGAAGGAGACTGAAAAGGAGATATTGCTGAGAGTAGAACGTGTTGAGCTGAGAGAACGTCAGGTGAATTGGGCAACCAGGAAACAAAATACTGTTTACTAGTGAAGTCTGAAATCAGCACTGATGGCAAAGAAATTATTATTTTTTTTTTCATCAGTAACCTGTGATTTTTCTACTGTTCTTCTCGTTGAGTTCAAACAAAACCAAAACTTCACTGTTCTGGGGGGACTGTTTAATCAGTTAAATAGAATTGATGCTTAAGCTTTTTGGGGTAGTGGAGCATCTCCTTTCTGGGAGATGGGAAAGAAAATGACAAATTTGGAAGTTTTGAGTGGGAAACAGTTCTAAGAAAATGTATTTAAGTTGCAGAAAGAATCATAAATGTGCTATTCTAAGATTAGAAAGGATATGCAGTTCAGTGTTTAAAATCCATTTTCTAAGTAATATGAGAAGGTACTGGAGGAAGCAATGAATTTCCAGTGAAAAAGAAATAGAGAAGAATTTGATGGCAACTTCAGAAGGGTTGTACGGAGGGACTCTCCTCTGTGGATTAGGGTTATAGCTACATAAATAAGTATCTAGAGCTAGGTTGAGAACTCTTCTTGTTCTGCTTTGTATTGTTTCCTTTCTTGTAGGAGTTCAGATAGTGCAGTGTGGGAAGGTAGAATAGAAAATACCACGTAGGGTCTTGGGGCTGAGAGGATTCATTCTGAGAAATGGCATGTTGCTGTACTGTAGAAATACGTGTTCAGTTGGGAAAAAGAAATAGATGACAAATGCACGCAAGGCTTCATATTGTACATGCCATTTACTGTGGGTCAGAAGCTACTGCTGAGGTAACTTGTATTATTTGAAATATTAGAAGAAAATTGCAGTATTATTTTACTGTAAATTCACATTCTGAAAATCCACCTTCGAAACCATTTGTCCTGAAGCTCTTCTGTACCCAAATACTGCCTTCTCCACAAAATATTTTCGCATCCATTCACAAAGAGCCTGAAGAGTTGCTTATTTAGCATGTGAATGTCATTTTGCACCTTGAACACATTTCTTAAATTAGTCATAACTTTGTGGGATTGCTTCAAGTACTGTTTCATGTGTTAGCCTTTAAATATAGATTTGATACCATTCTATCGCAGCATTTCTATGTTGTAATGATAAATTCAAAGCTTGCTTTAGTTTTGGACTGAGTGAAGACATTGTTTTAAACTTAATATTCACTGTAAAGTACTGTCAACGTGATAAAACAGAAGTTGTTAAATACCAGAATAGTTATTGCCTGTGGTCTTACTTAAGTGTAAGCTTTGAATTTAATCTTCCCTTAATAAAACGTAATGGATGGAAAGGCCTGCAGAATTCAGTGTCCTTTATAATACTAATTTTGATAAGGTAGGAAATTACTATTCGAGACTATAAAAACATGAGTTGTTTCATTTTCAGTGCAGTGATATTTTTTTTTTTTTTTTTGTTATTTGTTCAGCTGGAGCGCTATAAAGAACTAAAGGAAATTGCAAGAAGGGAAGTAGCTATGCTAACACAGCAGCTAGGTAAACTTCGTTGGGAGCAAAAAGCAGATGAAGAAAGGATGAAACTTTATCAGAGGAAGAAAAAGGAAATTAAGGTACTTGTATCAAGCTAGAATTGCACTTTAAGGAAAAAAATGTGCTTTTTCTGCACCCCTGCCTCTGGTGTGAATGTCTGCATAAATGTGTTAAATGCTGTGACAGAAATCCTTGGCGAAAGAGATAAATGGCAAGTATTCACGCATTTCTCATATTGCAGCAGGTTTAGAAAAATGACTTAATTTTTTTTCAGAGAATGATTGCACGGGTCAATGCTAAGGGTTGCTTTGAACAGCCTGGCTCTAGCATTTCACAGTTACTATGTACAGGACATGTACATAACTCTAAGTTCCTAGTTCTATAAACTTAATTCTTCTTTCAGAGGTTCCCTAGCATTCTTTATCTGTATGACTGTCATCCGCTTTTGAGGTTTATTTTGTTTACAGCAGCTGAAATAGTTTGGAAGGGACTTGAAGGACCAGAATGAGAAAGAGGGAGAATCATCGTGATCACTGTGGTATTGCAGTTCAGAGAAAATGCCTGTGAATATAGATATCTACTGTCATTCTGCTTCTAATGTACATAATTACACATCTGATCTTACTATGCTTGATACGCTCTCTTAGAAAAATTATTTCCAAGCTTGTTCTGCTTTGTGTCATGCTTCTAGAAGCTCAACTGATGATCTTTCTTTCAATAGAATGCTTGCACTACGATGTTTTTATATTTATTTTTCCCAACTATGCCAACATGGCAACATGCTTTTTTTTTTTTTTTTTTTCACCATTCAGTTGTGGAGTCAAGGTTTGGAGGAGACTCTTGTTTGGAAAGCTCAAATTAGTCAGATGAGATGTTACCAGTTCTAGGAGTACTAACACTTAAGTGATCTAAGTATAAATTTGCTTATAGAGAAAAGTGAGTATTTTACTTGATAACTATGAGAGTGTGAAGTCATCCTTGCTATCAGATTTAAGGTAATACTTGTACATTTGTTCGCTGTTTATGATACTACTTTTTCTTGTTGAAGGACTAGCTATCAGAAGAAGCTATTCAATGACTAGAAGTAAAAAAGAAGTTCTACTCGTTATGCTTCTGAAACTCCACAAATCGTATTTCAGTGTTCAGAAAGAAATAAGGGATGCTGAGATTTCATAAAATGCGTGTCTGACCGTTAAGAGTTGCCAGTATTCATCTGTGCTGTTGACAGCTGATAACTATTCCCCACACTCAGATGCGCATGTGACCGCAGCAAGCTTGTACTGCCAGTGTAAGAAAGACTGTGGCATCCAAGTACACTGGTGGGCCACCATGCTCATTGGGGTTGGAGCACTTGGCATAGCAGGAGAGGCTGTTTGAGCTGTATTTCTTCATCTTGTAGAAAGAAAAGCAAAGAGGAGACCTTAGTGCTACCTGTAACTACCTAGTGGGAGGATATGAGCAAAATAGTCACTTTCTGGAGGTGCACAGTGATAGAACGGGATACATCAGGTGCAGTTTGGAATGTGGGAAACTGAGTAAACTGGAAATAGTCAAACGTTGAAATGAGTGTGCAGGAAGACTGGAGTCTCTGTCCCTGAACTATTGAAAATTTATCAGGACAAGGCCTTAAAACAAGCTTGTGTGAATGACTTTCGTTTGCATCAGCTGGTGAACTAGCAAGCTCCAGAGGTCCCTTTCAAACTGTTACTCTGTAGTTCAGTAACAGCTGTTAAGTGTTATGTATGTGAAATTTCAGCTAAAACAAGATGGATCTTAGTGCTTCTCTGTATTTTGCCCACAAATCCACTTACCTCCTTCAAATTTCTGGAGATATGCAAGACCAGCCTGGACACCTACCTGTGCAGCCTGCTGCAGGGGGCATGCTTTGCAGGGGGTTGGACTTAATGCTCTCTAGAGGTCCCTTCCACTCCTCACAGTTCAGTGATTCTGTGAAACGCAGATGTCAGATCATTAGTGTGCATTGCTAGAAGATCTGTCTGTAAAAGACAAGTGATTAAAAGAGACCAATATATTTAAAACTGTAGATGATAGAGATATGTAAGATGTTTTGAAAGGAAACGGTAGGTCTCAAGGATTTCAGAAGGCATGACTTAATAAAATACTAAGTAACTTTATGTTTTTCTTCTTCTTGCTGCAGTTTATGGATTTTCATTCAGTTTATGTAACTGAAAAGACTTATTTTGTTGCTGGTTTGGTTATGCTAATACAATGATTTTTAGGTAGGAATTTCCATGTCAACTTAATGTTTTTAGAATAAAGCTTTTATTAACCTTTTGAAAAGAAAAGAATCTTTTTTGCTTTAAAAGCTGTAATTCACTAACACTGTGTTTAAAATTGTTTCATTTGATATGAGGCTTTCTCTGAACTGTTGCTGAACACAAAAGGTATGGTAGTGTCCTTTGCAAGGTGAAATTATTTTGTTCTTCATGGTGCACCTTATCTACTGATGAAAAAGATACTGTTTCTTCAGCATGTGATACGTAAAAGGAAGAATAGGTAATGTTTTAGTACTTAAACTAAATTAAGAGCTTTGTGTCTTGTTGGGAAAAAAAAATAGTATTTTTATTTGTTTTTATAACACAATCTGTTTGTGATTGCCTAGGAAACCATTGTACAGACTGTGGAACAGATAGAAGAGTATAAGAAAAAAGTAGAGAAGTTGGAAGAATATACTAAGAAATGCACGTATGTTTAAAAATGAAAATTCGTTCTTTTATGTTATGTATTTTTAGGGTTGATTTGTTTGTGATTGTGATGTTAATATTTCAGTTACTTCAGCGTGAATTATAATGAATTCTGCATATTAGGAATTACGATGACTTATCTGTTGTTTGAAACAGTTCTCTTATGGATGCGTAGATCATGTCACTGTGGGTAGGGGTTGGGGCTATTAATGGCTAATGGGGCTAATTAAATTCTCAGGGTATAAAGCAGTTCTGTAGTGCCGCTTTAGAAACTAGTTAATATCAACCTTGTGGATTAGAAGCTTTTGTCAGTTGTCCCTTTCTTTCCTGTGTCGTTTTCATTCTTTGTGAAATAGAGTATGCAAGCTGTACATTGAGCAGCTTGATCTAGCTTTTGTATTAGCCCTGTGTTCTGCAAGGAATCAGGGTAGATATTTTCAGAGATTGCTTTCAACCTGTCTTCTTCTATGCATCTGCAACGTGTGCTTTGGCTTAGCAGTGCTGTCTGCATACTGAAAAAAGTTCTGCCATGGACAGAGAGCAACCAATCCATTGTGACTATGATGCAAAAAAATATTTTAATCAAGTAGTTAATAGTAAAGTCTGTGAAAGGGTGCAGTGTCATTATACTTATGAGTGAGAATTTTCAGGTTTTTTTAGTTTCACAGTATCAGACCTTTTATTAATAGCAGGTAAAATAGTGTATTTTTATATACACACAGCCATATATTCTCACTTGAAATTAATTTTGGAACCTTAAAAGCTGTGTATATTGTGGAGTGCAACTCAGTAAGCGACTTGTTTCATGAGGGCTGCTCTAAAAGCAGTGCCTGCTATTTTACTATGTTGGCCCACAACATCAGAGGCAGATATTGGTAGAATGGCAACAGTGGTTGAACCTTCCTGTCAATATACTGTTACATTTTGTTGCTGTGCAACAGATGGCAGCAGAGGGGCATGCTGACAAAACAGCATCTGACATGGACACGTGTATGAAACTAAGGTGTGGAGCTGGAATTCCTTCATGCTGAAAAAATTGCACCCATTGACATTCACTGATGTTTGTGCAGTGTTTATGGAGACCCAACAGTGGATGTTAGCACAGTAAGGGTATGGGTGGTGCATTTCACCAGTAATTTTTTTTTTGTAATCTGTGACCACAGAATGATTTCAATTTTATAAGCCGAAAGCTTGCATAATTGTAAAAGTAAATTGCTTTACTGTTTTTGCTTCTGTTCAAAGTGAGTCACTGGCAGAAGAAAAAAAGAAGGAGGAAATGCTAGCTAAGGAAATGGAGAATTCAACAACGCGAATAGCTGAAGTGAATGAAGAATTGAACAAAATAGTTGGTGAACTACAGAATGCCAGAATTGATTACCATGAAGGAAAGCGTCAGCAAATGAGAGCAGAGATTGTTGAAAGCCTTAAAAGACTGTATCCAGACTCTGTGGTAATTGAATGATTTCATTTAATGCCTTATTTCAGTATTACAAACTGAGAGCTCTGCTTTAGCATGAATAAGCAGCTAGAGTGAATTGGACTGTCCTGTATGATATTTTGAGCTTAAGTGCACTTGGCAAAATACAGTGATAGAATCATTTGTGTTGGAATGAACTTCATAAGGTCATCTAGTCCTGCTTCCCTGCAGGGACATCTATAGCCACATCAGGTTGCTTAGATCCCAGTCCAGCCTGACCATGATTGTTTCCAGGGATGGAGCCTCCACCACTTCTCTGGATGACCTGTGTCAGTGCTTTGCTACTCTTATCATAAAAAAATATTTCCTTATATCCAATCTAAATCTTCCCTCTTTAGGTTTGAAATCTTCCCTCTTTAGGTTTCCCCTTTTCTTATCACAACAGACCCTGCTAAAGAGTGTGCCCCTCTTCAGACACTGAAAGGCTGCTAGAAACTAGGAGCATACAGACTACTGCTTGCATCCAAAAATAATTTTGATTTTGTGTACTTCTTGTGGAGTGTGATTTATTTAGTTTTTGGATTTGTTTTCTTCTACTTCAGAACATATTTTTAACATGCTTATTTTGAAGAAATTAATGGGAAAGTTAGCTATAAGACCACTTATCCCAGAAAGAATACTCAGGATCATGAGATTTTAATGTTCCCACATGATTTGCTTAGCATATACCATATTTTACTGAAATTACTCTTAAGGTACTGTCTGTTTTGTGGATGCCGATACTGCATTTTCTTAAGACCTCAAAATATTTACCAAGATTGTTTTATGACTTATTTAAACCATTTTATAGACACTTTTAAAGATAGTCCTTCTGATATTACTACTTGTGAGTTGTTTCCACCTCTTTAATACATCTGATCAATTGCATCTCTAGGTATATCTTTGTGTGCATGTCCTCATTCATTCTCATTTTAGACATACAGCCTGGGATACTGTTTTGAAAATAATGCTTCTAAGGTGACACCTGTGGCTAGCATAAAAACATAGAATGGTGTGTTTTCACAGATCACAGAATCACAGAATCACCCGGGTTGGAAGGGACCTCAAGGATCATGTAGTTCCAACCCCCCTGCCTAGCAGGGCCACCAAACACACACATTCAGATCAGGTTGCCCAGGACCCCGTCCAACCTGGCCTTGAACACATCCAAGGACGGGGATTCTCTGTCTTTGCTGGAACCTTCTCAAACTGTGTTGTTTGTTTTTTGAAGAGAGAAATAAATTTGTTTTTTGATTCTGCTTCACAGGTTTTTCAGTTCATATTGATAAGGTATAAAAAAAATAATCAAAAGTATGATTGCATATATGTTTTTGCTAGCTTTTTGTGTTGAAACCCTACATGAGAAGAATTGAACTGTTTCTTGCTGGCCTAGAGGAGATCAGATGTTGAGGGTGCTCTCAATCCCAAATTTCCCTTCAGGAACTGCAAATAGAATAGTTTCAAACAAGTGAAAGGTGGATAAGTTGAAACACCAGCATGTAAGGTAGCAGCGTTGCTTTTGAGCTGCTCCTTATGCTCTGATGAATTAATTCCAGATTACTGGATACAGTCCAAATTAAAGTCTCAGGGTAAAAGAATCCTGAGATTTCATCTTATAATCCAGTAAGTCAGAACTGGGTGGAAATTTTAGTGTCAGTTGAATTCATTGGTAAAAAGTAGTAATGGCTTACTGCTTCTAAATGCTTAGATCTAAAATATTAAAGTTTCTGTACTTCTGTTCAAAGATACTTTTAATAGTTGGTGAGCGTTTGTAGTACTGCAGTAGCCATGCAGCAGTGTGAGTCCTGCTGCGTGAGTGCCTTTTCATTGATCTGATTAACAAAATGAATGTCACAGCTTATTACAGTTTTTATCATTCCTGCATTGCTGGATTGGAAATATTACTAATTTTTTGAAGATTTGGTTGGACTGCCCATATTTATTTCCCTAACAGCATGGCATTCCACCTGCAGTTATAATGGTCAGGATATGTATTAGTGCATAGCTTCGGTCTTTCAGAGAAAGGTCACCTGTGTCTAAAGTTTCAAAATTAAAACAAATGACATCTAGGGAGTACATAGAGCAAATAAATTAAGATACTCTAGGATCAGATTATGGATGGAAGCTATTGTTGAGTGGCAGCGAAAGTGAATATATTTGTAAAACTTGAAAGAATACTTCTGGCTTGTAAGTGATTTTTTTGTGGTAGGTATTTGTTTATTGCATGACAGTGATATCTGATCATACTTACATGTTTAATTTGCTTTCATCTGCAGCAAGCAGTCATTGATTACCGAGATTTAGATTTACCGTCACACTGCGGAATTAGTATGCACATGCAATTAATTTTGCTTGTGGAGGTCATGTCTTAATATGAGGCAAAATAGTCTTATTTGAATTACTCAGTACAAGAAAAGCAGGTTGAACTGGTTTTGTGCTATTAATAGATGCAGATACTTCTTTTTTCAGTTAAAACTGCAGTAGTAAGCAATAGTGCCTTTCTTGTTCTCATTTTCCAGTGAACTGCTCTAATTACATAGCTTGCTCTAAAATAATGCCTCCTATTTATTTCCATAGAACAGATATGAAGAGCACAGTAATATTATTTGATAGAACAAATTCTCAGGTACAGTAATTAGTTTTCAATGAAGTCACCACCGTTATCAGATTCACTTGAATGAGCTGATAGAGACACTCTTCATTTCATGGTGTGACACCTGTGCAGAGACATCCAGGATGCGACTTGCCTTTCGTGTCACTGTTACCACTGCTGAAACAAGCCACACACTGCCTCACTGTGCTCACATCCACTGTTTGGTCTCCATAAACGTTCAGCGAATGTCAGTGTTGCAACTTTTTCTACACGCAGGCATTCAGCAACACGCCTTTGCTTCATACGCGCTTCCATGTCAAATGCTGTTTTGTCAGACTGACCCTTTGCTGCCCTCTGTCACATGACTACAAAACGTAATGGAATATTGATAGGAAGGTTCAACCTTTACTGCCAGCATCCACCCTGATGTAGTGGGGTATTGTAATAAAACAGGGGGCATTACTTTTGGAGCAGCCCTTGTAATTAGGACCATATCATCAGTCAAAGGTCTTATATGCTACGTAGTTTCATTTCTGCAAAGATGCTTAACAAGTTTTACTATTGTTATTATATCATACTTCTAAAAGTATTTGCTAATAATTCCAAGTAAGACGTTAACAGTCACCTTAGATAAAAATTAAATCTGTTCAGATTTTGAAAGCATACTTTAGTGTTTGATCTGGTGATTGCTGCAATTTCTATTTTTCTGTCGTAGACCCATTGTAAGAAAGCACAGATTATAGGCATGTAACACATTTTACTTCTGCTACTTCAAGATCTTGCATGCAGAAATTCTTCTTGATATCTGTAATTAAGTTTTTATTTCTCTCTGTATGTTTTATTTTCAGTTTGGAAGATTGCTTGATCTGTGCCATCCTATTCATAAGAAATATCAGCTTGCTGTTACCAAAGTATTCAGCAAATATGTGACTGCTATTGTTGTTGCCACTGAAAAAACAGCAAGAGATTGCATTCAGTTCCTAAAACAAGAACGAGCTGAACCTGAAACTTTCCTTGCTTTGGATTACCTTGAGGCAAGTATATTTTTGCTGTCATCAGCAAGTTGTAAATCTTAATGCTGGCTCATTAAACGGGCTTACGTGTTAAGGGAAAGCAAACATAATAGCTCAAAAAATGTCATGCTGTCTTCTCCTATATACTTAGATGTTTTATGCCTGTGGAAATAGTATCACAAACCAGTTAAGTTTGGATGTCATCTTGTACAACCACCCTGCTCAAGCAGGGCCAACTACATCAGGTTGCCCAAGTAATTTCTGAAAATCTTCAAGCATGGTGATTCCACGGTTTCTTTGGGCAGTCTGGTTCATTGCTCAGTCACACACACAGTAAAGAAATGTTTTCTCATGTTCAGATGAAACCTCCTGTGTTCCAGTTTGTGCCTACTGCCTCTTGTTTTGTTGCTGGGCACCACAAAAAATAAAGCACGATTCTGCAGTCTTTATACCTTCCCTTCAGATACATGTACACACAAGTCCCCCCCCCCCCCCATGTGTCTCTTCTACTGGAGAGCCTAGGCCTGGACAGTTTTCTCTTCAGCAGTGCTGAAGAGGGGGGAAGGATCACCTGCCTCAGCCTGCTGGCAACATTGCTTCCAATTCAGCCTAAGATGCTTTTAACCTTCCTCTCTCCTAGGGCACATTACTGACTTATGTTCAACTTTGTGTCTACCAGGACACTGGTTCTTTTCTGCCAGGCTGCTTTTCTGGTTGTCAGCCCACAGAGCGTACTGAAGTGTGGTGTAATTCCTCCCCAGGGACAGAACTTTGTACTTAACGTTTGTTGAATTCTGAGAAGTTCTCACTGACCAGCTCTCCAGCCTATCTAGGTCCATCTGAAGGGATGCACGACCATCTGGCCTGGCAGCCATTCCTCCAAGGTCTGTGCCGTCTGCAAACTTGCTGAAGGTGCCCTTGTCCCCCATCATCCTGATTGTCAATGAAGATGTTCAGCAGGACAGGACCCAGTATTGACTCCTGGGATACATACCTAGTTACCGGCCAGAAACTGAAGTTTGTGCTGCTGATCACCTCTCTCTGGCCTGGCAGTTCAACCAGTTTTCAACCCACCATACTGTCTGCTCAACCTACCCATACATCAACTGCTTATCTATGAGGATCTTATGGAAGAAAGTGTCAGAAGCCTTACTAAAGTCTAGACAGACAATATCCACTGCTGTCCTCTCATCCACCAGGCAAGTCACTTATTTGTGGAGGTTTATCAGGTTGGTGAGACGTGGTGAACCTGGCAAGTCTGCGCTGACTATTCCTGATGACTTCATTGTGATTTATATACTTGGAAATGCTTTCCAAGATCGATCACCTTCCCTGGGTTTAAGGTGCAGATGATCTGACTCTAGTTTTGTGGGTCCTTCTCCTTGCACCTTCTGGAAGATTGGAGTGACATTTGCTCTCCTTGAGTTCGTGGGCGTTTCTCCCAGTAATGGTGACTGTTAAAAGGTGAGAGTGGTCTTGCAGTGACATCAGCCAGCTCCCTCAGCATTTGTGGATGCACCCACTCAGGGCTCCCAGATTCCTTCTGCATGTCCAGATGGCTTTAGCATTGCTCGACCTGATCTTCTTCCAATAGCAGTACATCTTTTCTTGCTCCTGCTTTCTCTTCTAGTGGCTTTCCTGAAGGTCTGTCTAGATATATCCTGTGTACCAAGTCTCATGCAGCATTCAGCTGCACTTTCTCTCCTCTTACTTTTGTCATCTGTGTACTGGCAGAAGCCCTTCTGACATCCATTGCCAGATTCAATTCCATTTGTACTTTGCTTTCGTTAACAACATATCTGCATGCTCGTCCAGTGCCTCTTTTCCTGCCAGATTATCCTTCCAGCTTCCATCACATGTATGCTTCCTTTTTCTCATTATTATTATTAATATATATATATATTTTTTTTTCCTTTTACCAGTAATGATTTGTTTTTCCATGGCATTTTTTCTTGACTTACTGCTTGTTGATATGGGCCACTCCTGGAGGAGAGATCTTTGAATATAAACTAGCATTCTTGGGCCACTCTTCAATTCAGAGCCTTGTCCCTTGGGACTTTCCCACGCAGATCCTTGAAGGGACCAAAATAGCTTTGTTGAAGTCCAGCATCGTGCTCTTGCTTTTTGCCCTACTCTGTTCGCTCAGGTTCCTGAGCTACCCTATCTTATTCTTGATCATTGCAGCCAAGGTTGCCTTCTATCTGCAGGTCACCAATGAACCTCTCCTTGTTGGTGAGTATGAGGTCCAGCAGAGCTCCTCTCCTCTTAGGCTCCTCCCTCACTTTGTGTGAAGAAGTTGTCAGTGATCTTCAGGAACCTCCTGAATTAGTCATGTCCTCTTCTGTAATTCCTTGAGCAGATAACAAGCTTAATCCACTTTGTCTTCATGGTGAAGTGTCCTTTTGCAGACTCCCACTATAGTGTAACTCATCCTTTTTTTTTTTTTTTTTCCTTAACCAACTATCTCTTATTTCACCAAGCAGAGCTCTGTCAGTGCAGCTGTTTCCATTGCAGCTCTCCAATCATGTGAGCCATCTCAGTATGTCTACACGATCCCAAGATTGTTGCCCTGCAACTGCAAGCAGATCTCTTAAACTCATCTTGTTTATTTCTCATGCGTCTCCTAGTGTATGTGCACTTCATGTACAGTAAGAGACATAAATCCCAGGACTGGTATTGCACACAGAACATGAAAAACAGATGGACTGGTCTTGTAGCAGTTGATACCCATTCTTTTGATTTGTACATCTTGTTTCCAGACCACTGAAATTTGGATATGGTTTGCTGTTACAACTTGAATTTTAATCAGTACATGTTTGCTTTAAAGGTCAAGCCCATCAATGAGAGGTTAAGAGAGATAAAAGGAGCTAAAATGATTGTGGATGTTGTGCAGACTCCATTTGCTCCATTGAAAAAAGTGATTCAGTTTGTAAGTGGGAACGGCTTGGTCTGTGAAACAGTTAAAGAAGCAAGACAAATAGCATTTGATGGACCAGTGAGATTGAAGGTAAGAGGGTGAATTTATTTGCACGTGTTATGCATTTGATGCCATTTAAATAATATTTCTATGAGCATCCCACAAACTACTGCAGAAAAACACAAAAATGATACCTTGCTGTTCAAACTCCTTCTACATAAGGCACCAGATATTTCACATGCTTACATTTTCCTCTGCATGGTACATATAAATGATTTCCTGGGAAAAGGAAATAAATTAGAAAAGATTATGTTAGCATCCAGACATACTTCTTGACATTGTCCTTTACTTTTGAAAGGAAGGATGAGGAAAAAAGAATAATCGTTCTTAAAACCATCCAATTTAAAAATAAAAACGTCATCTTTCTAGCTTTGCCGTGAAGAAGTGCTTTCAAAATTTATTTTAATAATCTCTATTTTTTAGACAGTTGCAATTGTAGACTATAAATTGAAGAGGCAGCTTCTTTCTCCTTTTGTACCATTTTTTCTTTTCAGCCATCTCTCTACTTCTTTCATTGTCAGTAGAGCACTTTTACGCACATACTAAACCTTTTAAAAATGTGATTGAAACAGCTCTAAGTTAAAGATGAATGTGAAGTCATGTTCTCTTGAAATTAGGTTAACTCCCCCAAAACTCCATTTTCTTTACTAAAATTTACGTTTCCTTTTTACAGATGAGCTGTTTGTTTTTCCAGCTGCCTAGATTTCCTCCTCTCCATTATCACCTTGCTTGTTTTGCTTTTCTGACCTGGCTATAATCTTCATTGCCAATGTACACAAATCTCTCATTAATTTCCTAAATGCAAGGAAATGATACCATTTCATTTCCCTTTTTGATCTGTTGTAATAATACCAAAGTGTGACTTGTGCCAAGAAACAGCAGGCTTTTTTTGTGTATTTCCTGTTAGCGTATTTTGGAACAGGGTAGAAGTACGGAGTCCCAACTAACATGCATTGGTCACCTGCTTAACCACCATATTTTGGTTCCCTGTTTCACAGGATATTTTGGCTGGTTTGTATAAAGAAAAATTTTAATTTAATTTTTACTTGCAGACAGTGGCACTTGATGGGACGTTATTTCTGAAATCTGGAGTGATTTCTGGAGGATCTAGTGATTTAAGAGTTAAAGCTAGATGCTGGGATGATAAAGAAATAAATAAAATGAAAGAAAGAAGAGATACATTGATTACTGAGTTGAAGGTAGGCCTCTTAAAAAAGTACTTAACTGCAAAAGGCTGTAAGTTGCATTTACTTTAACTTAGCTGTGGGAGAGAGATAAAGATGAGTCTCAAAACTTCTGGAAGCAGCAAAGAGGAGAGAGTAGTTTTTTATACTCTTAGTTTTTGGTAAGGTAATATAGGTCCCTGTCTTTGGCTCATGGGTTGGTTAGCACATCACAGAGGTGGAGAACCAATCAAACATAATACATAGTTCTCCAGGGGAAAGGAATTATGTTCCCAAAGACTTTTAGCAAAAAAGTCAATACATTCTACCCACATGAAAATGTTTGCACAGTCCAAAACCTGGCAATGTAAAATTTGCCATACATCTAGTAATCTCAGACTGCTTGAGGAGAAAGTAGAAATTTGTATATGTATGCTTTTTTTTTGAGAAATAAATCTGTGCAGAATGACTATTGAATATGACCAGTGCTATCAGCATTTTCCTTCAACACGGCCTTTCTCATTGAGGTTGGCTTAAATAGTGCATGAAATTTGAAAAACAAGGAGTTTCCAAATAAGTAAGGCTTTGCTTTAAATGTTTTTTCTCTGTTCCCACTCTAATATTTTTCTAGGATTTAATGAAGATAAAACGCAAAGAAGCTGATTTGAAACAGTTGCAAGCTCAGTGCCGTGGAACTCAGACACGACTTAAATACTCACAGAGTGAACTAGATCTTATTAAGAAGCAACATCTTCCTAATCTCTATATGGTGTAGTACTAAGACTTTATAATTTTCATGCTTAATCACTCTATTTTTATTTTACCTGAGCTGTAATTACCAGAGAAGTAAATACGAATTCCTTATAGAGGCTTTTTACTTTGATTTGTTTTACATACAGCAGTTATGACTAAAGAATTACTAAAACATTTCTTTTTAGTTAAAAAACAATTGAAATTATTTTTCTTAAAATTAGATCTAAAGTTAATTTGAATTTCTGCTAAGCTTGGTCTATCATTTAGTAATCTTCAAACTTCTGTAACTCAAACCGTGCTTATAGATTGTGCTTATGTCACTTGTTTTACTATTTACTAAGACTGTTGCTACTGCAGGTCAATCAGCAATGTGTGGGTAAATAACATTTAGTATTTTTAATTGGAAAAACAGTTAACCTGGTTCAGAAATGTGTTAGTTTCTAGAAAGCTGACCATCTCGTTAAGAAAAGTTACTATTTTTTTCTCTTCTATCTAGGAAAAATCAAAGCTGGAAAGTGAACTGGTAAATACTGAGTCTCAGCATGATATGATAAAGGAAGGAGTAGTACAAAGAAAACTAAAACTGGAAGAATTACAGAAGCAGATTAATGAGGTAGGTCCTTCTGTCCTAGTCAGGACAGGAACAGGCTGCCCAGAGAAGTTATGGATGCTCCATCCCTGGAGGCATTTAAGGTCAGCATGGGTGAGGCTCTGGGCAGTTTGTCTAGTGGCAGTGCTGCCTGTAGCACGGAATTATGAGCTTAGTGAGCTTTGATCCCTTCCAATCTAAGCAATTCTTTGCTTCTCTGCCTGGTAACTTCTACATGAAAGCCTGGTCTTCGGCACTTTTTATCAGAAACAGGAAAAGTTTTCTAAGATGTTACACGATCTAGCAGGTTAGATTTCCAGACTGTCTTTTCTGTAGACTGTTCTGCCACCTCATAACCCAGTTCCCTATCATTCTCTTCAGGCAGTCCCCAGAACAGTTCATACAGACAGCTGACATTCAAAAGTTCTGTTACTATGAAAGAATGAAGGAATTCAGTGAGGTGAATAATATTAAAGCCTAATCTGACGACAAAAGCGGTTTCATACTGTGTTCTACTAGAATTCTGGCAAATCTGTCCCTTCTCAGAAAAAAATACGTCATTCCCTACTTCTTTTTGGAATCCACCTTTCTCATTACTTTTGCCAAACAATAGGGAATCTGGTAAAGACTGCCAAAGAGTGGTGCTGAAGTTCTAACAGGAAAATTCAAAGCCCTGTGCCTAAATACTTAGGTAAATGTAGATCTGTAGGCCATTTATAATCACTGTCTGGAGTTATTTGAGGTGTACAGTAATTCAGACTGATGAGAGGGTCGGAAACAAAGAACTTTCTTGAATTAATCTATGAGTGAAATTTTGTATGTGAAGAGAAACCAAAAATACTATGCATTGTCTTTCTTGCTTGTGGTACAGATGTGGGGGAGTGCAGATGTGAGTCATCTGCAGGCACTGAGAAAGTCATTAGTGTTTTGGCCGTAAGAATCCTATATCCAGGTAATTTTCCCTGTACTGGGGGGAAACAAAAAACAACAGCAAAACAAGAAAGGCTGGCCATCAGTTTCCTAAGAATAGTGTAACTTGATTGGATATAGCATTTGGTGTCACGTTAAAGGTGTCTGTAGCTTGGCCTACAGACCAACCGAAACAATGTATACAAACTTGGTTTTTGCTTTGTGAAGTTGTTTTTGTTTTGTTCAGTCCATTGTTTTTACTGCTAACTGTACGCTGTATAGTTAGGAAATCAGACACTGTTGCATTCTTTTTTTACTTTTTTTGCTGTGGCTCTGTTGTAAATGAGATATAGCAATTAATATTTATGGCTATTTATTGAAAGGATTAAAATGAATGGGGCTACATCAAGAAGCTTAATGTAGCTCATTAGTGTCTTCTCTACTATTTCTCTTCTTAAGGTGAGTGGAAACCACGGACAAAACTAGGGAGGCTGCTTATACTGTAATAATTTGAATTGCATTTATAATGACCAGGTGCTGGCAGGAAGAGTTTGGATGAAAGTAACATTTTGCAGATCATGCACTTTATATTCGGCATTTGTGCTGAAGCTCTTATTTGAAAATGTCAAGTACAGATTCTTTCTCCTTTCTGAGCTTGTTTCCTTTGAAAGCCTATAACACGAGATGATCATCTAAGCATTTTAATTCTGTGATTTGCAAAATAGCATAAGCATTTCTTTGCTCCTTTTCCATTTATTCAAAGGCAGAAGATGCTGTTTTCCAAGAATTCTGTGAAGAAATTGGCATTGAAAATATACGTGTGTATGAACAAGAACATGTGAAAAAACAAGAAGAGATTGATAAGAGAAGGTGGTATTTGTAATTAAAATATGAAAACAGTGTAGCATGTGAGTTGGGCATGTAGATGAGTAACTGTCATAGCATAAAAACAAAAAAAAATGGAAAATGTTATATTACCATTGCAATAATTAGTTAGCAGTTGCACAGCTGTGTTTTGGATTTATTAGACAGTACAGCCAGTGACATTTTGCAACAAACTTGAAGATAAAATGTGTTATTTTGGTTGTACTGTTGCAGAAAAATAAAGTAAATAATAGTTTTCTTAAATTCACATGAGAAGTGGCAGTTCAGGGTGATATGAAGGCTTACTCGTGGTCATAAATCTTAAAGGATGACTGAATGTAAGATGCAGTGACTTGATACAGAAATGTACTACTAAGGAAAATGGCATCTTAATTTTCTCAGACAACCTTCGGCTGGTATTCCACTCAGACAAGTGCATGTCACAGTACAACAAACATTTGACCACTTTGTATCTTTGATAACATACGTGTTGGAGAATTACTACTGTATTTTTTTAAGTTCCAGTATATCCATAGGATTTGGTATAGTGGAATCAATAATGGAAATATAAGTAAGTTCATGTGATCTAGTAGGAAAAAGAGAGATAGAGGAAAAAATTTAAAATCTATCTACTAATAGCATCAAGTCATGGTTACTGATCTACTTCTAAGTGTTGGCTTGAAATACTGTTCCTTCACCAGGTTGGAGTTTGAAAATCAGAAGACACGACTAAGTGTGCAGCTGGAATATAATCGTGAGCATCTACAGAAACTAATAGAAACCGTCAGCAAGTTAAGGGATGCTATTAATAAAGATGAATCTGAGATTACTGGATTACAGAAGGTGACTAATATATATATACGCATAGAAAATATCTGGGGCTGAAAGGAAGGATTGCATTCAGTCGCACATAGTTAATTCTGTAGAGTAATTCTAGTGCTTAATTCTGTATTGGTAGTGTAAGTATGGAAAAAAATGTGCATGTCATTCTTTCAAACTCAGAATAACTTGTGTAAGGATACTTAATAATTATTAAAAATAAACTTACTAAAAGTAAAATTGGAATCACTATGTACAGAGTTGTGTTTAGTTTATATAAAAAGGCAGCATGTGACTACAGATAAAGCTGTGTAACTGGGACTTGTTAGAAGATTTTATGTGAAGCAGTAAATAATGTGTGCTTTCATTTTTAAGGTGCTTCATAAATGCTAATAGGCGTAAAATAACCAAGTATTAAAACTAAATACAGATTTTTAATTGAAATATTACGCAGGGACTCTTTTCTTCATAGTGTTTCTTATTTGTTTTTTAATTCAGTTGATCAAGATCCTGTTGACTGTAGAATAAAAATACACATTCATAATAAATTTTCATAGTATTTATGTTTTTTGTTAAATAAACTGTGCTTATGGGGCACTAGAAAGTGATGGAGAAAAGATGCACTGCAGTGCTTTGTTTGAAAAGTAAAGCTGCTCCAACATGGGCAAAGAAGCCACGTGCATCATTTGACATCTGTATTCTAGTAGCATATAAAGAAACAAGCATACTTAGTAAGTATGAAGATGTGTATATTTGATTCTGAGAAAAATAACTGTCTGACTCAGGCCTGCACAACAACTTGACTTGATGCCTGTGTGTAATTCTTTTGAAATACAACTTAGAGCGAGTTCTGACATTTTTGTCCTGGAGAAGGATTGTGTGTATTAAATTCTGAAGGTATTTTGGTCTGATGCTGTAACAGCAGTAAATCTTAATTAAATTTCCATAATGCTGATCTCTGAAGGACCCTGCCTTCCTGCATGTCGTGTTAGGTTGACTATATTTTTACACCTCAGTTTTAGCAATTCATCAATGGTATGATTTACACAGGGGTAAAGGGGTAAAAACTCGTGTAAAGTCCTTCCACTTGTATTTGTTCTTTGAAGAGATTGTTGTTCTCTGCAGATTACCTTAGGATTTATCTTTATTGAACAATACTTTCTACACGATTTCAGGTTATGTGAGATGATGCTAAATATTTTGTACAAGTACAGCAGATGAGAACACTTTTTGGAGGCTGCTGGGATAACAGAGGAAAAGAGAGTAGGCTACAGATTGTAGGAGTTCTAGGATCCCTGCCTTGTTTAATGGTGTTACAGTCTGCTGCAGTCACAAATCTGGAGCTGGCCATGCCTATGTATAAAAAACAATTGGATCTTCTAACATGTAATACAGGCCTATCTCACAGTGCTCTTCAGACTTTATGCTGCAGCACATTTGAAAGTATTGTAACAGGTTTAAACTGCAACTCTATGTAACTATTTGTATGTTAAAGGTCCTTTGTTAAAAGGTTTAAATTAATGTTTCTTTTTAAAAATATTAAATATTAATATTTCTATGCAGGATGAGGAGAAGCATCTAAAAAAGGTGAAAGAAATTGAGGAGGAGGAGCAGCATCTTAAAGATAGATTAAGTGTTCAGAAATCTGAGATTATAAAAACCCAAAGTGAAGCAGAGGAGTTGAGAAAAACGTTTTTAACTCTTAATAGGTAATTATTGCACTCTTGGGAAAAATGATTCATGTAATAATCTTTAGAAGAGTTCTGGCGATGAGATATTTGCATTTCTTAAGTTCTGTTGTCTTGTGAAAAATTATTAGAGACGTGGTAACTTGCTTTTACAGTGTGCATTAGTTAAAAAAAGCTTCTGTATTGATACTTGGTTCCTCCAGAAGGTAATTTGAATATTTCATGAGACCATTCCATAATAAGATATGCTGTTCTATATAGTTTATTTGTTTAGTATTAGTTCTTGTGATTTCTAATGAATATGTATTGATTTCTGATAAGTACATATTAGCTTACAATTTGATCTCGGGGGAGCATGTTAAAAGATGTTGAACATTTCTGGAAGGGTTTTACTGCACACGTTGTTTGCTGGTTGTTTCATATTTTTATCTGGGTTTATTTAATGAGTGTTTTCTTTTTCTGATTCCTTCAAGTGTTGGGCACCTTACACTAACATTAATTTAGGGTCAGTGTTTTCTCCTTAGCCTTCTTTTAAATCAGCTGCTTTAGAAACAGTTTACAGTTCAATTTACCGCTTATCTTATTCAGGAGTTCTTGTGATGTTTGAAAAAAAATTATATGTTGGCACAAACTTTCAGAATTCAAAATGAGCCCTTAATTTACATGCCCAGTAATGCATTTTATAGCGTTTAAGATTAGCAGCACGAGACTGTTTTGTCTCTGCCTCATTAAATAACTTAATGCTATCAAAAGAATTTGTTGCAAATGGAGTAACGATAAAAAAAAAAACTTGATTACAGCTTGAGAGGCATCAAATCTGTATATATATTAAGGAGAGCAGAACAGAACATGGTTATCGATTGTCATAGTTGGAAAGGATGCTATAGTGTGAACTTGGAATATGTTGGGATTATATCCTTGCTACTAGCACTTGCATTATAATAGAGTTAGTATGTTACAACAGAGCTTTAGTTTACCTGCTAGAATAGTGCATGGTTCCCATGTCAAACTCAGTGATTTCAGCGCATGAAGGGAGTGGAAAAAATTAGTGCTATTTGCATTATACTTTAATGAAGATTACAGAGATAGTGGTTTTTCATGCTGTATGACTATAGGTATTATTGGTAGTGATGCTGCTGCTCTTCAGTGGTTTTGTGCCTTTTGTGTACGTAGGGAAGCTGCAAAATTACAAAAGGAAGCTGCAGCTATAGAAGCTTCTCTGGAAGATAAAAGATTAAGAAGACATAATATGCTTCTAGAATGCAAGGTGCAGGACTTGAAAATACATCTCCTGTCTGGATCGTTGGATGACATCAGTGAAATAGAGGTACTTTATATAAGTAAAGATAGATGCCGTGTAGGTGCCATTATTTAGCCTTCAATTTAATTATATTCTTTTCTTTACAGGGCTAGTTGTCTTAAATAATAATGATAAATTAATTGGTTTTGTGTGATCAAGCCTCATCCATTCAAAAGGACGATTTTGTTTGTTTTTTAAGACCGAGATATTGTTTGCAGTTGTTTTTGCATGTGCTTATGATGTATTCCTGCTCAATATGTAAAATCATTGTGGTACAAAACGGCGTGAAGCAGTATTCTAGATACGTATGTATAAGAGGGCACAGGGGATCACGTCAATCATAAACAAATATAGCATGTGTCTGGGATGAGATAATATTTTGATTTCAGTATATGTAGATGTTTACAGAAATAAAAACAGGCTAAAATAGAAATATTCCTGCTATCAGGGAATTGAACATTACTACTTTTCTCAATCTTCCCTCTTTCAGCAACAGTATCTTTTGTGTGGAGAAATTATTCTTTGTCCCCTTTTGTGAAAGAAAAGAAGTTATTTATTTTGAAGTATTTGTGCCTATAAAGTTGGAAGAAATCTTGTTGAATCTAGTCCTTAGAAAAGTGCTTTTGTTGGAGGATAGGTCTAAATAGGTATGAGTTTGTAGGCAGCTCAGCTATCTGTTTATGAATAAGGAAGAAAAAATTAAGGAAGTTGGCAATTGGAATAACAACTTTGATTCCTAGATAACAGTACTGAAAAGACAGAAATATTTGGTTTTAAGAAGCCTGGTAGGAAAAGGACTGATGGTGAATGCAGCATGGCATGTGTTTCATTTAAAGACGAGTAGCCGTTTGAACTTCAGGCTTACAGTGTCCAGAAGATACTCTGCTTATGTCAAGTTCATTTTTCTCAAGCCAGCTAAATAAAAGATGTACCTTGACTTACACACTTCAGAGCCTTTCCTTGAATGAAGAATGAATTACCACAGAAAAGTAAATTATTTCCCATCAGGAGAGAATGGTATACTTCCAGTACGCACATTATTCTACAAACAGAGAAATTACAGCTGCTTTCATAGTAGCTTTAAACTGAAATTGGCAGATGTTTTTGTCGTCATATAAAAGGTGCACTTATATTCTTAGAATTATAGGATCTTAACTGTTAGCTCAATTTTGGACGGGGGTCAAGCAATGGAAGAAGTTTACCTCATGCCCTGTTACCACTGTGTCTTTTTCTGTCTTTTCAATGTATTGTTTAAATGATTTAGAAGTTTTGTATTTCTGAAACAGAATGTCCATTTTGCCCATAGCTAGGAACTGAAACAGAAGACACTCAGACTACAGGTATCTATGAAAAGGAAGAGGCAATTAAAATAGACTACAGTAGCCTACCTAAAGAACTGAAGGTAATCTCATTTTAAATAAACACAAATTGAGTTTATTTTTCATTTAAAATATTTCATTTCTTGAAATTATTTGTTTATTCCTCACCCTAGCCTACAAATGGAACATTTTAAAAACACTGGTAAGCTGAAGTATTTTGGTTTTGCAATTGTACGTGACACAAATATATGAAGTTTTTAGATAGGTCAGATATCTTTTCTGTTACGTTTAACTAAAAGTCTACCTAAACCATAAGAAGAGCATAGAAAAACTGTAAATATAATTCTTACTTTTTTTTTCCTCCTTCTTTACCTTCTGCCTTTAAGTTCTGCCACAGAAGGTTATAACACATAACACTAGAAACTAGGGATTGTCTACTGGAAGTGGTGGGAGGGAACTGTGTCATTTTCTTTCCCATTGTATTTTCAGAAACTGAATCTTAGAACTCTGTGATTCCATTACAGTCATGTTTTCTTAGCACATTTGTGTGTGAGTAAATTCTTCTTTTTAACCATCATAGCTAAAATGAATTATGGATGTTAGGTACAGAGCAAGGAGGAATTTGAACTTTTGTCAAAAAAAAGTCTTCAGTAAACCACAAAGAAATATTTTCTTTGCAAATAAGGAATGAAGACAGCTGAGATTTGTCCTGTATTGTAACTTCTGATGGATATCTAGGCTGAAGAGACGTTTTTATTGTCAAAGGATTTGTAAAACAATACTTAGGACCTAGTAGATTGATTCTGTGAACTAAGACTCTGGATAGAGAGCATTAGATGTTGGGGTTTTTTTAGTTTTGTTTCTAGATAGAACTATCAGATGAGTGGAGTGCTTATCCAGAAACCATGACTGCTTGTTTTATACGTGGAAATGTCTTAGCCTAAAAGCAAATCTTATGACCTGAAGTTTGTTTTGTTTTGTTTTTTCTCTGTTGTTGTTGTTTATTTCTTTAGGACCTAGAGTCTGATAAAGAGATAGAGGCTCATCTGAACCAGATTCAGCAGGAAATAAAATCTAGGGAGAGCATCTTAATGAAGACAGCTGTTCCAAACCTGAGAGCAGTAGAGAAATTACAGATAGCTCGGACCAAATTCCAAGAATCAATGGAAGGTATCACTGAGTCTTCCTTATTGTTTCTTTAATGGCCTTAAAAGTTCTTGCCCTAATTAAAATTCCTTTTTATGGGGTTGGTCCTGCTGTTTCTGCTGCTTTCAGGTATTAAGGTATTTCTTGTGCTTAAGTGTTTATCCTCCATTGTCTTTTAACTGTATTTAAACAATTTATTAATATATACTCTGCAGTATTTCATTGAAACACAGTTGAAATGATTAGCAAAAAACACTTTGCAGAAGTGGTTACAAGTAATTTCTTGACCAAATGACGCTGTGAAATATTTTCTTAAAAGGACTGACCTTAATTGTAAAAACATTTTAATTTTTCTTAATTAGAAGGTTGTCCAGAATCTCAGACATAAGCATCACTGTAAAATTACCAATGTCCTCAAAGAGAATTGCATTGAATTACTACCAAATTGAAGGAGTTCTGAATCTGTAACCAGTAAATGCTTGGGCTGCTTAAGGCCACGCTGCCTAGAGAAACAATTAGAAAGAAAAACTTTGTTGCTTCAGAGCAGTGTGGCATAGAATATACTGAATATATGTAACTTTCCCATTTTGGAGGCCACCAATTAAAATCTGGGAGGAAACTCATAATGTTGGTGTGCTGTCTGTTTGTGTGTTAGAATTGTTTCTGTAGTATTTTCCTTGATGCTTGCTGTGGGACACAGTCCACTTATTTTTTTTCTGTATATTTTCTTAGAGTCTTATTATGAAATAATTTTAGAATTTTTTTTATAGCTTTTGAGACCAGCAGAAAGGAGGCCAGAATATCCAAGCAAGAATTTGAAGAGGTGAAAAAAAGGAGATACGAACTTTTTAGCCAGTGCTTTGAGCATGCATCCATAGTTATTGATCAGGTCTACAAGAAACTTTGCAGAAACAGTAGTGCACAGGTGTGTCATGTTCTCTGGTACTTGGCTTAAAATGGCTCCAGGAGGCTTTGCTATGCAGAATTAGAAAACTTAATCTGCACACTGTGATTGTTGTACTTCAAAAGAAACTACTGCCTAAGAAATTGTACACATACACAGGTTTGCTGCTGGCTTCTCCACCAGTTCTCTTCCATTACTTTTCTGTAGAGAAAGAAATGCCATTCCTTTCACAATGATGACCAATGAGAAACATACAAGGAGCTACAAGATTATTTTTGCTAGCAGTGATTTGCTAACTGTCCGTATATGTGGAAAAAAAACATTTGAGGTATTTGCAGTGGCATAGAACTAGAAGTTGCTTTGCAAGATACTTGACATGTATACAGCCTGAATAACAACCAAAGGCATTTTCTCAGTGGAGAAAAAGAGGAAAATATGCATTACTTCCAAAAAAACAAAGGTGCTGCAAAGACTGTAATTCTTATTTGCGTGACTGTTTATCAAAGAAGTTGCTTTAAATCATTTCAAATGTAGCATTGTGGTTTTTTGAAAGATTGTTTCAAAAAAAAAAAAAAGGAATATGTGGACCATTTCCAAAATGGTTTTGTTAATTAGCCTTCATCATTCATCAAGAGGAGTATTCACTGGGAGGTTTAATAGTGTTAATATTCAGAAGCGATGAGAAGCTTCATCCAACAAGTGAAGTTGATTTATCAGCTTCGAGTATAGCTCAGTCAGTATTTAAGTCTAAAAAATGCACATCACAACAATATTATAAGTGTCACTATCAACATTGAGATGTATGCATTTCCAGGCATTCCTTAGTCCTGAGAATCCTGAGGAGCCTTACCTGGAAGGCATAGGCTTTAATTGCGTGGCACCCGGAAAGCGCTTTATGCCAATGGACAGTTTGTCAGGAGGAGAAAAAACTGTGGCCGCTCTGGCTCTTATATTTGCTGTACACAGGTAAAATAGTTTGGTGTTATACAAGTATTTGGCTTTATAAGTGATAGGAAGAATGCATACTTAAACGTGTTAAAAATCTGCTAGTACTGTATCTTCATATTTACAAAAATCTTTCATTCTTTACCCATCATTACTCATTATCAGAATAATTTTTTGGTAGTGTGACTCACAGTCATTAGAACACTTATCAGTATTTTTGCATTTAAATGCAAAACACTGTATTTTCTTTTACAGTTTTCGGCCTGCACCGTTTTTTATTTTAGATGAGATAGATGCTGCTCTGGATAACACAAACATTGATAAAGTAAGTTGGTCTCTCTTACTTTGCCTTTTTAATCTACACATAATGGTATCTTTTTCAGGAGGATGGCTACTTTTCATTAGATGTTATAGGGCTAGAGAGATTTCTTGCAGTGTCTTAACCTGTTTGAAAATAACATTGTGTTTAGAACAGAAATAATGATCATACATGAGATGTTTGACTAAGGCTAGGTTTTAATTCCTAAATCTAACAATGCCTTTTAAGCAGTCTTCAGTCTGTGAATTTGAGAAAACAGAGCAATTCTGTAGAAAATTTGCCCCATGAATGTGTGTGGTGCAGTATAAGACAAAAGCCATCTGGGAATTGCTGATTGGGTTTGTTGAGTTGGAATTTTTAAGGACTTTATATTCCCTTAATTGTAAGAAGCAGAAGGGAGTGTATCTAGGTGTTGAAATTCAATTCTTTATATTACTGGAATATTTTATGTTACTGTCTTACTAAATATTTTTATCTCCATTAATACCAATTAGGGGCTATAACTCCCATTATTTTAGAATTCTTGTTTGATGAAAAAAGCTTCCTGTTGCTCTCTGACTTTATTTTTCCCCTATTGGTAACAGTCACTAGAAAGAAAATTTGAGTAGAACAGAGTAGAATAGAATGGAATACAGTACGCAAATATTGCCAACAGTAGATGTTATTTAGGAGGGAAAAAGATGTCCACATGTCTATGGATTTTTTGCTGTGGAATTATTCCTTTCTTGATAAAATAAAGCAAAGGGATGTTTCTAACAGTATTATTGGTGATGCCAAGTCTTAGTAAAAACTAATGGATCAAATCCGTTTCATGAACACAGTTTGTGGTTGTTGTTTGTTTTTTTTTTTTAAATGAACTGTGTTATGCTAAGTACAGTGCAGTTTGCTTTGAAGATACCTCTTCAGCCAGCAGCTGGGGAAAGATTAACTAGTTATGCCTGCCAGATAGAGTACCTTCTCAGAGGTTACTGACCCTTCATAGCTCTGTGAAAGCCTTTTCCAAAACCAGACTTCTTAATCATTTGTTGGGATTCAAGCCTTTGAGGGATACCCATAATCCATTACTTCTGAGACGATATACACTGCATTTAACACAGTCCACCATGTTTCAGCAATACTAGATAAGATGTAATGGAACTGTAATGAAAATAATTACGTGTTATTAGGCTCTGGCTGTCAATGGCACTGTTGGAAACAAGATTACAAATAAAGTGATCACAAAACACCTCCATAATCTACACTTTTTAACAGGATTGTTTTCTATTCATTAGTCTTCCAGGACCGCTATGACTTGTCACACCAGTTGAAGATCCTGTGCTCTGCTTATATATTGTGTTTTCTGAATGTTCCTCTTAATTCTGGATTCGAATGTGTTGTGGCTGGTGAAGTTGGCCACAGTTACCCGTGCTGCCTCCACACTCTCCTCTATTATCTTTCTTTTCTTTTATGTATGCGTTCTGTGAGGTTCCTGGCTTCTGGTATGTTACCAACTTCCCATACAGATCATGAATCATGCATTAACACAACTGATGACGAGGCACTTCTCTGCAGTTTGCCTCTCCAAGTAGGCATATTCTGATGTATGTGATAGAGGTCTCCACTTTATATCTTGGAATGCACTAAGGCAGCATTCCTTTTCAGAATGCTATAGACAGACATGTTTCTAATTGGACAGATTTCTCTTCAGATAAAAAACACATTCTTAGCCTGTTAAATGTTTTCAGAAGAGCATTAACAGTTGTTAACCAGTTCCTGTCTGCTTGCACTGTGGCTGGTGGGGATTACTGAAATGGCAGCTCTTTTCACCTGAGCAACATAAAGCAGGCAAGCTGTGACAAAGGCTGTAACATTTACATACGTGGAGCGTGACTGCCTGTGTGATGCAGGAAAAAGGGTAACAAAATATTGGTTCCCTGAAATAAAACCTTTCACTAGCTCGAACATCTGTGTAGGTGTATGTAGTGTCTTAAATTGCAGAATGAGCAAAATCAACATGGCAGTGATGTGCAAGTAAAATTTATATGCTTCTCTGATCCCTGGGTCTTTCGTAACTCTTTCCTAACCTGTAAGATACAGTTGTTATCAGCCTGATACTACAAAGCACCAAAACCTTCAGAGGAATTAAATACAGCAAGTGAATAAAACTGATGTATGAAAATGTTTTATGTTCCTAGTACTTTACTGGTAGCTAGTTTTTATGCTTAGAACTAAGAAATCTTTTTCTTCATGCTTTTTCAGTTTTGAGATCTGTTTTAGCAAATCCTTAATAATTTACTTCTACCATAAGATGAATGTTAACGATGTAACTAACTAGTGGCTGTTCTTTCACTGGAAAAAAAAAAATAACTTCCATCACACAGATAAAACTACAGACTAACTGAAAAAGTGCTGGGTTTTCTTTGCTTAATTCATATTGTGTGTATTGCCTTTTTTCAGTCTCAGGATTATCACTGAATATTTTATGTTACTTTGGAGATCATGGAGGGGGAAAAAAACAGTTGCCATCTGCAGTGAACTTAGTATATAAGCAGTAACTGTCCTTTTGCATTTTTTTCCATACTCAGGAATTTCCACCTCCCTTCCAATTGCATTAGTGCCAATGAAAAATATTTTATGTAACGTTCTTCTGTAGCTTTATACATCAGAGTGAATGATAGTTTTCATATACATTTTCAAAAAGCAGCAAATCTGAGGTGTTTCCATAAGGCAATACAATTTATGTCTTAAGATACTTATTTTAACAAATGAATTGCTGAATGTAATGTAGTTCAGTTCTTTCCTCATTATTGCTTAATTATAGTAATTACAGCACAGTTTAATTCTACCAGAACTAACTTATTTGTCTTCATTCCAAAGGTATCAATTTTCATTAGGGAACAGGCACATAAACAATTTCAAATGGTAGTTATTTCTCTGAAGGAAGAGTTTTATTCCAAAGCAGATGCATTGATTGGAGTGTGTCCAGAGGTAACAATTATTACTTATATTTTTGTTAAATAATGCAAGCTGATTCTGTTGCAGTACTGATTTACATCTTAAGAATTAATACAGTGACTCATGTGTGAAACTATATTGTTGGATTTATTGAATGTAGATGCATGTAGAAATAACTACATGTATTGTCTTGATGAAAAGATCACTTTGGTAACTCAAGCTCATTACTCTAAGACTGCTGCTTACAAAATGCTTAAATCAGACGTTTTAAATTGTATGATCCTTGCCCTTTTCAGCATGATGACTACGTGTTCAGTCGAGTACTGACTTTGGATCTTACCCAGTTTCCAGAGGATGAAGAAGAAACAGAGAATAACAAACGCAGTTCTTCAGAATAAAACATGGATGGATTTAGGGTCAGGAGGCAGGTAGAACTGTGTTTACAGTGACTGTTAAAAACTTAAGTTAGAATGTGGTCATTAATGGTTAATAGAAACATATTTACCTTAAAAAAAAAAAAAAAAAAAAAAAAAAAAAACTTGAAGAAAATGGTTTGTTTGTTTATTCTGCTGCCTTATGATGAATAAGATGAATTATAAGCACACTGTTACAGAGCATAAGACTTGTTGGTTTTTTTTTTATGAGAAGAGATATGTTTAGTTGTATCTCCAGTGCATGCTATCACTGGACTATCTCAAGACCTTTACAGTCTCTTTTCTATGATGCAGCTGCCTCTGTTTACATTCAGGTGAGATTATTTTGCTTTTTTGAAAAAAAACAAAACAAAACAAACAAACAAAAAAATCCAAGATACTGGAATATGGCTGTTGCTTTCTGTGATTTCTTGATGACTGTAACACATCAGTTGTCCACTGTGGGATTATGAAAATAGTCAATTTTACAAAAGCTCACCTCCTCTCTCCAGAGGTTTGATGTACTCTGGAAGAAATTCCCAAGGCATTTTCCCCCACACAGAATGGGAAAGAATAAAACAGGTGTGAGGCAGCTTCCAGACAGGCCTTAGAAAAAGAGCATCTTCTGTTAGTTTGCATTTGAGAAGAGTTAATATGTAGGTGTCCCAGTGCATTCAAGGTGGATGTGCTTCATCTAAGGATAATAAAGTTGGTTACAGAACAAGTTTGAGATCTAGAATCACTTAATGTGGTTTCTGTTGCACCTTGGTGTTTACTGATGAGCTTTATTTGTCTTGTACTTGCTCCTGATTATTTCTTGCATTCATATACCAGTTTCCTGTAGTCTACCATGGCTGTTACATACTTAGATCTTGTGATGTGTTGCTAATAACAGTGCTTGTTGCACTCAGCAGTTGAGTTTACTAGGTAAGGAAGGAATGACCTATGCAAACAGATAGAGTGTTCATAGGAAGAATGCTACAATGACATAAATGTGTCCATCCTGCTGTAGACAAAGGTTTATCAAATAGTTACATTGTAGCCCCATTCCATTAAATAAAGTTATTTACTCTGAATATAATCCATGAGTAAGCTTAATTCCTTTGTATTAATGTATTAGGCATGGCAGTGCTTTTATTGATGTGAACGATGAACAGAAGGAAAGCAGACTCGTAGTGTTTTTCAGGGACCTTTGATCCACGAGTTATCACACTGTGTTATCAACACAAATAGAGAAGTTTTGCTTTTCAACCATTTAAAAGAACACTTGGTTGAAAGCTTATATGGGCCCACGCAAATACACTGAGAATAACTAACCTGAATATTAAAGACAGAAGTAAAGAAGGCAGTCAGAATCTCAGCCTTTTCCTTGTTCTCAGTGACAATGTTTCGCACTGTTTATTAATTCATTGACTGACGGCTGCATTCCAAATTATGTAGCCAAATAAAAATTATATACCTTTAAACACAGTTTCATCATCATCTATGGGAGACTTACAAAACTATATTAGAGAATTAGGAATGAAAGAGGTCTGTGAGGATGCCTTTGAAAGTCTGGATGTGATGAAATTTTCAGCAGGAATGAGAGATCTCATCCTGCAGGAAGCCCCAACACACCAGTATGGTTCTTTGGTATCCATACTAAACCCCCTGAGGGGGTTATAATAGAGCCTGTAATACAACAGGCCACCCAATTAGTGGCAGGTCTGTGGGGGACAGCACCAATGGGCCAGGCACAATGTCTAAATGGTGTTGGAGAGGTCAGAGGTCCATCTATGACCACAACCTTGGAGACCGACCTCTAAAGTAATCCAATATGGATCCATTAAGGTCTTAAGTAAGCAAATGTTCAATTACCTGATTAGGGCAGGAGTTCAGTTTAAAAAGATTGGCAGCCTAATCAGGTCATATCACAATTAATCAGACAATTAAAGCAGAAGGAGTTACAATCGTAGAACGCATTCCATTAGAGAACAGAAATGTGGAACCTAGTGGATTTCAATCCCATCAAAAAAGAGTAAGCCTCCTCAGGCAGCCCAGGCAGCTGCAGCTGAGCCATCAGAGGAGAAAGACTTAGGGATTGCCAAGCTAATGGCATAACATAGGAGCTAAAATCCCTTGGAACTGTGGCCTCCAGAAGAGGTTGGAGGCACTATGTTGAACTAATGATTCATTGGTCTGGAAAGAACATTCAGCAGGCTATGGCACTAGTGGAGTAGAAACATCAGTTGTATCACAGAATCATAGAATGGTTTGGGTTGGAAGGGACCTTTAAGATCATCTAGTTCCAGCCCTCTGCTATAGGCAGGAACACCTTCCAATAAACTCAAAGCCCCATCCAGCCTGGCCTTGAACGTTTCCAGGAAGGGAACATCCACAACATCACTGGGCAACCTGTTCCAGTGTCTCAACAATAAAGAATTTCTTCCTAATATCTAGTGTAAATCTACCTTCTTCCAGTTTAAAACTTTCCCCTCATCCTGTTCCTACATGCCCTTCTAAATATTCCTTCCGCAGCTTTCCTGTAGGTCCCTTTCAGGTTCTGGAGGCCTCCCTCCAGAGCCCTCTCTTCTAGGCTGAAGAGTCCTAGCTCTCTCAGTCTGTCCTTGTAGGAGAGCTGCTCAAGCCCTCTGGTCATCTTTGTGGCCCTCCTCTGGAGTTCCTCCAAGAGCTTTATGTCATTCTTGTGTTGCATGCCCCAGAACAGGATGCAGGGTAGAGAGGTAGAATCATCACCTGTTGGCCACACTTCTCTTGAGGCAACCCAGGATGCAGTTGGCTTTCTGGGCTGCAAGCACACATTGCCAGCTCAAGTTAAGTTTCTCATCAACCAGCATCCCCAAATCCTACCCCTCAGATTTGCTCTCAAGCCATTCTCCACCCAGCCTGTATCTGTGTTTGAGATTGCTCCAGCCAAGGTGCAGGACCTTGCACCTGGCCTTGTTGAACTTCTTGAGGTTAGCATAGGCCCACCTCTCAAGTTTCTCCAAGTTTCTCTGGATAGCATCCTTTCCCTCTGGAGTGTCAGCTGTACCACTCAGCTTAACGTCATCTACAAACTTACTGAGGATGCACTTGATCCCACTGTTCATGTTGCTGACAAAGATGTTAAACAACACCAATCACAAGCACGGATCCCTGAAGAATGCCACTCATCAGTAGTGTTCACTTGGACATCAAGCTGTTGACTGCAATTCTGAGTGCAACCATCCAGCCAATTCCTTATCCCTTGAGTGGTCCATCCATCAAATCCTTTTTTCTCCAATTCGGTGACCAGGACATCGTGGGATAGCATCAAAATGTTTTGTACAAGTCCAAGTAGGTGATGTCAGTTTGCTCTTCCTTTATCCACTGATGCTGTAACTCTACCATAAAAGGCCACCAAGTTTGTCAAGCATGATTTGCCCTTGGTGAAGCCACGTTGGTTACCACCAATCACCTCATCTTTATTTTCCACATGCCTTAATAGGGTCTTAATGGAAGATCTGCTCCATGATCTTACCATGCACAGAAGTGAGACTGACTGGCCTGTAGTTCCCTCTGGTTTTGTTTTTTTCCCTTCTTGAAAATGGGGTTATGTTTCCCCTTTTCCAAGGCTTTTAGCTCATACTAACAAAGAAAACATTGCTGGTAATTCCCTTGTCTTCCAACTACATTCAGCACAAATTGCTTTCTCTCAACTAGAATGTTATTTATTCCTTATTGACAAATTAACTGAGTATGAAGCACACGGTTAGTGAAGAAACCAGTTTCTAAAGATCATTTCACACTTTCAGACATGATGTTTTCATGCCCTATTTTCAGTAATGCATTTCCATTTTGTTTCCGGATTTTCATTTGTTTTGTAATTAACCTTTGCAAGACTAGTTAACTGGATGTTTGTTCACGTTGTTGACCTTTCTGATAAATTCATCTCTGAAACCTAAAACAAAAAATAAAATAATTCTTAACGCACCTTCCTTGGAAAAGGCCAAATTTAAGGACAGTTGTGTCACTGTGTATGGGAACTGCTGAGTCACGGCCTGAACCTCTGATTGATCACCTGAGGTGAGCCTTGAGTCAGCCAGAGGAGTACAGATGAAGGCAATTCACCTGTGCTGCCGGAAGGGGTGGAGCCTGGCTGGACCTATTTAAGAGCTGGCTACCAGAGGGGAAGGATCTCTTCTGGAGATCCCCTCTTTTGGTATCTTCTGGTGAGCTCAACCCAAGGGTAAGCTCTTCCACTTATTCTCTTTTGTGATCGTTGTCTGCTTTGCCTTACTCTCTTGATTATATTGCAATTATAACATCTTGATATCTATTGATTATACACAATTATATTGTAACTATAACATCTTGGTTATACACACTGTTACGCTTCTTTTTTTTTTCCAGCAACTATTTTAAAATCAATCTCTGTATCAGTTAAGTAGCACACTCGTAGAAAGAAAGCTCACATATGAGTGCTGATTCCTATGGTTCCTTGTTAGCTCAGCCAACTGATATTTTGAAGTTAATGGAGACAGAACTAAAATATATTTGTATCTAAACAAAAGAAAGTTTATCATACCCACAAAAATGTTTATTCATTTCAAGTAAATAAGTGCAAGGTTTTCCT